AGTGTTCCTATGTCTAGTCACGGACACAATTGGTAGCCAATAGGAATATCCGCCTCTGCTTCCTACTTTCAGGCTGAGCATAACCGCAGATCCAGTTGAAGCCGATGAGTGAGTTAAGTGCATTGTATCAGTGTCATGGGAGCCGGTGACTAGTTTGAGGTGTTTTCTTGCAACACCGAATGCACGGTATGGGAGGTATATGTGTGCAGCGTGCCGGAGGTGCAATGTAGCGTCTAGTTCATGTGACTACTTGCATGATTGGCAGTCATTTTGCATTCATACTGCTCTGGTCAAGTTTCAATTTTCACCATTCCTAAGCATGGACTTTTAGCCCCATTTAATGCTTTCCAATACTAAATAGGAAGTCTCAGGACTTCATGAGCGGAAAGTGGATGTTATTCGATATGACTTCTTGATTGCCAAACGGAGATCCATTAGGATAAGATTCGCCTTCTTAAAATAAAGTTATGCATTTTATACGAGGTAAGGTGGTTGGACTAGGATTATTTCTTTCCCTAGTTCTGTTTGTTTTGGATTAATTACCGATAGCAGATGCTGATAGGTTTCAATAATGTTAAGTGGCTATGTTAATGTGAGGACGTTATTCGTGTTTACAATCGTCACTTCAAATTCTTTCATGGAAAAATGGAGCGCTGATGGGCAGTGTGTAACAAACTAAATCCAAAACCGAATTTCACAATGAGAGGACTGTTCTAGAATTTAACTTTTTAAATTATCTTCAATACCAGAGCGCTCCTAGGCACTGTCTTTAAGTAATTCGCTGGTCATGTGAAGCCGAGCAGTCCCTAGCGATAAGGATTTAGAGAGTCCCAGTTTCTTTAAAGTGGTACAAAATCAGAACTGATCTTCACAAAAGTGAAACGAATGGAACTCATTATAAAAAATGAAAAGACGCAATGAATAGGAGTTGACAATTGCTACTTATACGCGAATTTGACATTTGTTCTAAAATCAGCCAAATTTTATTAAAATCGTCTTTTTTGAACAAACGGTTATTGCAAACAATATTGACGGAAGCCCAAAATCCAAATATCAGGCACATAATATACATTACACTGCAAAACATACATCAAACAGCTCAAATAAATATTGTTTCCATTAAAAAGTGTAGGAAGATTTGTTTGTAATCCTTTCTGGGCGAAAACAGCTGAGCATCACCGTTTTGAATAGTCACAGAGTGAGTTATTTTGCGTGGTTGTGGGTGAAGCTATCTTGTTAAGGTTTTTTGGCATATTTTAATTAATTTATGTTTGGTAGCAATGGTAAAAGATAGGGGCTCATTTCACACCTTTTTAAAAATGAAGAGTCGTTATTCTCCTACTTATGGTCCGTATTTTACCGTTTTACGTTTGAGGGGGTGTCTATGGTCCCATTCTACACCTTGTTGCTTTGATACCCATCATTGATTGGTGGTATACTCTTTTCAGACCCTTTTTATGCTGGCATGACTAATTGTGCAATATTTTCAATTTCCTCTAAGTTTCCTTACTTCCTCTTATAGTGTTTGCTAGCTTTTTGACCTAGAAATTATTTCTGCTCCAATTTAAACACTCGAACCTTATGAATTCATAGTTTTAGCGGAAGTATCTTCAGCAAATGCGGGTTAGGCGGAACGTGCGTCTGGTGAATTGCTCAACGGAACAGGCTTTTATGAGAAAGTCGACAAATCCAAATTTGGGTGAAAGTCTTAGCGACTCTGCTTTGAAAATATTCACAAGATCTGTTGATCTAGATTCCTCCTCTTCTGCGATGAGTTCAACGTCGTATCTTGTGGAAAATCTGCAAGGAATCCAAGTAGAAGTTTTCCCCTCCCTAAACTTACGACGCTCTTGTTCGTTGAATCCTTCTGATTTTGAGGAGTAGCTATTTCGTACTGTACCTACCGCATTTCGGATGAATGTCACTGACATTAATGTCAACAACAATGCTCTGTTCCTCTCTTGAGACAGCTTTTCTTAACATCGGCATCATCTCCACTGTTGTCAGCCTCTGCTATTTGCTTTTCGTAGTTTCCATAATGCAGTTTGCCAATCTTCTGATGACGATGAGGGGAGAAATTAAGTCCCGAAAGAATACATCTGAACCACAATTTAGGGCTTAAGATGGTTGGTATGCTTTAAGGAGTGCACTGATAAATCGATTAGTGACTTCTCCAAAAATCGTTTAACTCTTAGTTGGACGTCCCAACCTTAAATGAGTCTTGCATTCCTTTTATAGTTGACAAGTCCTGACTGGGTAGTATGAGCTTTGAGGCTATTTTAAGACGGCTCAATGCGTCTTTGCGAATGAAGGATGCAGCACTTCGGCGATGTCTGTCGTTGACTTATAGATGAGTTTGGAGACTGGCGACTGGTCTGTTTATGCACATGCCTACGGAGTTTCTTTGAACTCTTCTCAACGGAAGTTTTGAAGTTGATGTCTGCGTTTGACTCTAGCTTTCTCCCATTTATCACGGGTAAGTTATTAGCGGTTGACGCGACATCGCCAATATCGAAGGTAAAACCATCTCAGATCTCCTCCTCACACGGGCCTGCGTTGAGTCGCGTTTTCCTGTATCCGTTCCTGAGCACAATTGATGGTAATGGAATGAGAGGTGTACTGAGGGCAGGATAGAGTGCCTTGCTCAATATAAGAGAAGGAACATTTAATGCTTAGTCTATGTGGCCACCTGATATCTGAAGTTTGCTTTGTGTTTGTCTTGCTCTCGAGCTCTAGAACTGGATCCAGCACAAGCCCGAACTCACTCTATACGTCTCATTCTAAAATTCATGTGTTTATTCCAAATCAATGCCTTTTCCTTTAATGGAAAGTTCCAGGGAAGCTACACTCATTAATGACCTTTGTTTTTTGGATTTGGCAGAAGTGAACACAAATAGTTATTTTCAGTTGGTATTTGCCCAAAAATATCATACTTTTACAAGACTGTAGCAATCTGCATAACTAAAATAAAGATTTGTGTTTTAAGGGCTGTATTTCTAAAATAGCGTGATCAATTTTGTTTAATTTATTCACATAGAATCTTTAATGTTAAGGCGTTGCCTTGTATTCCATGACCCATAAATCCACCAGTGGGAGCTTTAGTCGTGGTCCGGTTTGGTGTGTAGTACTTTGGTTACTGGTGCCTTTGTACTATGGATGGGATGAGCCTTGAAGAATCCTTGTCCGGTATCGACTCAAATTTGTTTAGGCAATTTCGGGAAAGGACGGCTGATTTGCAATATGCAAAGCTAGAAAAGGATCAGTATATTGCGAGGTGGCTGAAGGCAAGAAGTTGGGATGTTGAGAAAGCTGAAAAGATGTTCAGAATGCATTTGGAATGGAGGAGTGAAATCAAGGTTGGATTGTATTGGGTCACTTTAGCTAGTCAAATATTTTGTATGTTGGAGGAAGTTATGGTAGCTTGTCTACAGATCTCCGTTGCTACAATCAGCTGGGAAATCCATATATTTGTTTGGGTTCTTTGCGATTATTGTTCTGAATTGGAAATCGTTTATCCTTTTGTTTGAATTCTTAAAAAGTAGCTCTCTATAGAATTCGATATTGGAATCACGCAATACAAACACGAATGTCCCAAGCTAGGATCGATTTTAATGTGTTTTATTCAGTGTCACTTTCTGGCAAGGTATAGGCTCTATGTCGTCTTATAGTTCATTTCGCTTGACATTCTATATATGAGATCAATTGCACTCTGGTCTTTTCGAAGCTTTACTTCTACAATCACTTGGCTGGTTCTGATCTTTTTAGCTCTGAATTTGCTATTGGGGTGTCCACTTTTAGTTGGTTTATTTATTCTATGATTTTGTCCACAGATTATTTCGCGCATTACTTGTAATATTTTCGGACTCTTCGTCTGACAGCCAGATTGTCATATAATGTCTTGCTGCTTTTCTTGATGGAACCTTATTTTTTGTTGGCCTACAGATGTGCGTTCACCCACATATTCTTATTTTCGATGTCTGGGACAAAAGCTCTGCGTTCTTCTGAGGAATTTCTCTCATTGCTTTGCTCCCGTGGCTAGTTTGAGTATGCATGCAGGAATAAACAATGGGATATCGGGCTTTAGTTCACTACTTTTATTGGTTTTTGCACTCTCCATGGAGGAGCTAGTTTATTCCACATGTTGTTCATTAGAATCTTTACCAGAATTTCGCTGTCTAGAGAATGCTTTATTTTACATAATTCCTATGGGTAGTGAGAATCTGTGTACCAGTAAATGCTAAGTTGAGCGGTGCGTGAATTCCGGAGGCTGTATTCTTCCTGTTTCTACTGCCATCAGTTGGATGAGCTCCTTGCCACATTCAAGACACCGGAAGTGGTCGAGAAATACTTTCCTGGTGGTATATGCGGACAGGACAAGTTCGGTAGGCCGGCCTTCATCTGCCCGGCGGGCACAGCGGATGTAGTCGGGCTGATGCGCTCGGCATCGCGAACCCAGCTAGCCCTTTCTCGCTACTTTCTGATGGAAAAGATTATCGAAGAAGTGCTGCCTGCCCAGTCGCAGAAAGTGGGGCGGCCCATCGACCAGCTAGTCATAATCTTTGACTTGCAGCACATGAATCGGCGTCAGCTATGGAGGCCTTGGCTCAATTTTGTCCTTGAGATGGCCTCTGTTTTCGAGGTCAACTTCCCCGAACTCATGGCCGTTTGCTTCGTGCTCAACGTTCCCTCATTTTTTTCCATGATTTTCTCTCTCCTCAAGCCAATTCTCAGCAAAGAGACTCAAGACAAGATTCATGTAAATTTAGTTTCATTGTTTTAGTCTTATATTTTTACCCTGTTATGAGCAACAACTCTAAAAAATTCTCGTCATTAAGACTTGGGAATGTTGTGGCAGGTCATGCATCTAGGTAGAAGATCATCTCCTTGTGTCTCTAACACAGGCGGCTGTTTTCGTTATCCGTCTGTTGTAACCCTCTAAGTGTGTATTCATCCAGTACTTGTGAGGTAAATGAACCCCATTTTGTCCTTTTGTTGCGTGTCCTAGACTTTTATAGGTTTTGATGACTGCGTTGAATGGCTTGAAAAATGTGATGCTGATCCCTCTGATTAGTCGCAAATGAGTAAAAATTTTTACTACTGTTTACCTGGCATTTTTTGTTACTGTCACTTTCTGTGTGATTGTTCCTTACTCTTTAGGATGACAAATCTGAAAATAAACACAACATGATCGTATAAAGAGTTGTCTTTCTTTCTGACTCCTTACCGTTTAAACCTCTCTACCCTCTTTTGGGTAAGCTCTTATTTGAGCACTTGTATCTGGCAGCATTTGACCCACTTTCTTGGCTCTTGGTCATGGGCACAATTGTCTATGCCTAACTCATCATTTGTGCTTATTTCAGAATCTGGGCTTGCAACTGTTGTCTTATTTTCAGCGCAGATGTTTTAACTGGGTTTTCGAGAATCCTTTGGGCAAAATGCTAGTAATTTGGAGCGGGTCTTCTGTTGTATTAAATTTTCACCGACCTTGCTGTTGACCATGATCCGAAAAGGCTGAGTAATGAATTACAATGCTTACAGCAAATCAGCAGAGAAATGTAATCGTCCACTAATTTGCACCAAAGTTCTTAACGCTACATCATAGTAGGGAACACTTCTACAAAAGCGCAAATTACGCGCAGCAGAGGTGTTATTGCGCACAATTTTGCGCTTCTATCTGAAAGGATGATTGAGTGCTGAAAGAGTGTGTTTTCTTGGTCCTACCAGTGGTGATGACTATGTGTAGCGAATTTCGGTCATTTTTGATACCATTCGTGTATGCACTTGTGTGTATGCAGGATGATCTTGCTTTTTCATTTAGTCACCCAATGCGGCTCGCTAGAGGTGTTTTGGTTTAATTTCTTAAGCGTTGCTTATCTGCTGAAAACCCTCTTCCTATCCCTATCGCATTTGCTGACCACTGGGAGGCATAACAGCCCTAAACACTATTCTCCCTGGCCTCACGCCGAGTGAATGTTTTATGAATCCGTTTTTTCAGCATTTAAATTTTCTATTTGTGATCTCATTTCCGAATTTGTTGCCTCTGGTGACCTTTAGTTTGGGAAATCTTGCTCCTTGCCCACATTACCTTTGATTGAAATGTGTAACAATATGCATCGGAATTTTTATTCGCCTTCCTTATAAACTTTTTATTCACCATTTTCATGACAATCGCTTTATTATGCTCAGATTTATTATGAAAATATGTGCTGGAGCTTGAATGCAAAAGTATTCCTTCCGATTCTATATGTCGCTTCAATGCTAGTGATACAGTAGAATGCGATTTGAATGAACATGTTATTTTATTTTTCAAATATCGATTCTTAGTGGATGATGTGATTTTTCAAAAAAGTAGGTCTCGCAAATTGATTGCACCAATGTCTGTTCTTACTATCTGACTGAAGCGTGGAATGAATCAACTGGGTTGCTTCAAAGTTTCAGCTTGAAACATGGCTGGGGCAACCTTTGTAGGCTTACAGGTGGGTCTGTTGTATCACTGTGAAGGAGCTTGAGATTTTGCGAAACTTTTACTTAACCGCAGAATCGCATCTTTACTGGAGCTGGTCGAGCGTAGACACACATGTGTTGTCATGAGGACGTGCCTGTGGTATGCATTGTGCTTGAGTAAACATTTACACTGCCACGTGTCGATGGTGTTCTTTTCAGACTTATTGGTATGATGGTATCTGCTTTACTGTTCAAAAGGCTTTGAATTTGATAGGATTTTCACTTCTCCTCGGCTGCATGTTTCGATTGAAGTTTCCCTTACCTCCCTCCTTCACACATTCGCATTGGTGCACATGTTTAGTGACATTAGCCATAGGTCGTCTGCCGTTCATACTTCATGCATTGAACGCGTATCAATTCGATCTTTCAATCTATGCAAAATCATACCGTTTGTGGTGAAACATCGTTTTACATCGGCTGTTCTAATTCTTTACCGGAGCTAATGGCCCCCACCAAATGTAGACGTATAAATTTGGTGCTATATTACCGGTTTGACGACTCTCTTTTAAGCAATCTCAACATGAAGGGATCACTGTTGCCTTGGTTGTTTGCATACTGTAGATTCTATTCTCTCCAAAATGGTACTGCATCTGCAAGGTTCAAGACTGTTGTAAATGGAATTCTGTTGGTTGTTTTTTAATTACCTATGAATTATTTCTAAAGACTTCATCAAAGCAGTTTACTCGGAATTGCTATGATAGTTTCAATCTTCCTTTATCTTAACAAATCACGGGGTGTAGGCTTTTTTAAGTATCCAAGATCGCATTATGTGGTCAGATTTAGGGTGAATTTTTTGAACCTCTGTTCAGGTTTGTGTGTAAAGGAGTGCTAGATGGAGACCATTTTTTAATATACGGCTAGGTGTAAATAATGGATGAAATTGGCTCACGTTCGACTTGGAAAAAACTTGTACCATAGATGAGGAAGTACCTTGCTGGTCGGAGCACCTTAATTTTGACGACATAATGTCGCCTTTTAGGAGCACAAGGTCTATCCCTTAGATTGTGCCCGGCTCTGTATGCCTTTTTGGTCGTTTATTCAGTCCACAATTTTGTGTCGATGATGGCTGGTGCGTGGTTCTTGACGTAGTTCCCAATCTAGTTGCAGCTGGTTGAGTGTTCGTTTTTTCGCGTGCTTTAAGAGGTGGTTTTAAGTCATATGTATGTGCACTCTTTCGGGCTTCTGCATTAATCTGGACCTCTGCTTGCTCATGTCAGCACTAATTCCCTCTTATTTCTCCTTCGGAACTGGGATGAGGTGATACTTTAGACCTTTTCGCAATAATAATTTATTAGTAAGCTTGCTATGTGTGCCTCTTGCAGTGAAGAAAGCACTAAAGACCATAAAATCATTCAAGTCTTCTAGTTACGAGTATTTTTATCAGCCACTTACCATTGATTTAAACTTCATTAAATTTTTCAGAACTCCAGTAATTTATCATTTTCATACAGTTTATGTTCCTACTTTCCCTCCTATTTGGCTTGAGGAACTAGTATGAGTCACTGTCCAGTATTGTGAATCCTTTCCTGAGATAGATGGCGATCTGGGAATCAAAGGTTTGTTGAACCTCTACCTTTTGTTTCAACAGTGAAAACAACGTTTTATCCATTTTCACGTCAGCGCATTCAAATTTGTAATTTTACCGACTCTTCAAAGTTCGTCTTTGAAATGTCATTTTCGATACTTTACTTTCAATTTAATTCCTCTTCATTCTTTCATCCTTTCTCTGTGCTATTTCGTACTACTTTCATCCGCTCATCTAGGGCATATTCGGACTTTTTTTTAAAGCGTAGTCACCTCTCAAGTTAAATCATATAAGTTTAAAATTCACTTGCCTTCAACATCTCAAGTTGGTTTTGAAATGCGAGCAGCTAGGAGAACCCCCACGAAACCTGAACAGACAGTGCTTCATTCGTTCGAATGTAATTCTGTAGATAATTTAACACTACTAGTTTAGTTTGGCGTGAACTCCAACATGGTGCTACTTTTATTAAGAATTGCAAGGAAATCATAGCTAAGTTATAAAGTGGAGAGTCAGTATTGCCAAATTTGGTGCGCATTTTCTGATAATGTTTTCTTGCATTCTATCAGCAAAGCTAACGAAACTCGCTCACCAATTTAGATCTATCCTTATCGTTATGGCCTTTTAACAAAGGTGGATATTCCTTTATTAGTCTAACCGCTGCATTTGCGGGTCTTAAGTTATCTCGTATTTGAGAATGTTTATAGTCTTTCATTGTGTACTTCTCTCTACCATTCATTAACACTGGGGTAACGAACGCCATTAGTTTCGTGAAAAACTTTCACAGTCGCTTATTTCCTTTCATGCTTATATGACAATCGCAAAAGTATTAGTTCAAGGATGCTTGACGAACTCCTCGCATACTCATCCCACTCACATTTACTGCAAGTTAGAACCACAAACCATTGTTAGGTATTTGCTGATGGACAGGTAGTGATTTTTGATCATTGAGTTAGTCCTTGGTTGAGAATGGTACTTTGTTATGCGAAAACACGAAGATAACCTCGGGAAATGACGGGAAGCTTCAGGGAGGCAGCGTCTTACTGCCTGTAATCGCAGTTTATTCTTCGAACTGGGGAATGCATCACTTTGGGTGTTTCTATGTCGATATTCAAACTCACTAATGTATCGTTGAAGACGAATATTACACACAATTATTTTTAAGTCGCTGGTTCTGGGCTATTTCAGTCTTCGCCACTACAGCCATGTAACTGTCGGATGCTGTTGTATATTCTTCGCGTTGACATTATATTTGATTTGCAGTGTGTCGAGGTTATTCTTTTGGGGAACTTGATTTATGGCTTGTGTCTCATGTTGATTAAAACTTTTCTGCAAGGCATTCCACACGTTCCCAAATCTTGCATCTATATTTGTTTAGCGAAGAATAAAACGAAGGTGTCTATGATGACGCCTACGTGAGTATTTGAGCTCTCACGATTTGGAATGCTGAAAGTCGTGGTACACGCTCAGTGTAGACGGCGTTACTGATTTGTTTTTTACTAACTGGACGATAACCTATTTCACGCACTACGATTGCATCACAATTTGGTATAAACACATCGGTTGATGGACTGCTTGCCTAGTCATTATTGGAGGGTGATGCACTTCAGCACTACGTAGGCTCCTGGTTCTGTTTGTGTTGTAACTCATTAACTGTCAAGTATTTCGTGTTCATTCTTTTAAGCATGCTCGAGGCCACTTTTTTCACCAGTTGGTGTACTTACTTCCATTGTCAAGAAAGTTTAAAAGTCAAGCATCGGGACGCACACCATTAGTGGTAATTTTATTTTGTTGATCAAGACTGTCACGTCTGCTGTTTTATTTTTGCCCTTTCTTCTAGTCGCAAAAAAGGTTTTGCAGTTACTAGATTATGGCTCCATTCTCTCGATGGCATAAACTATTCTCTCCTTTTTAATGCTTAGGTTACTTCTTCCTGTGATTTCAATTGTGAGTGTTGATGTAGCAAATAAGTTGGGTTTTTTACCACCGGCTCATTTGTGATAGACAAATCTGATTTAGAACTGCATTTATGTATTATTCAGGGAGGTAGATCGAACTGAGCTTCCGCTTTTATAACGATGCATTGATGGTCTAAAGACGAGAAAGTTGGTCATGATTATGAATACCTTTTTATACGGGCAATTTTATAGGTACTTGGCTCCAACTACCTCGACGAATTGCTAAAACTTTTTAACCCTGAGGATCTTCCAGCCCACTACGGTGGAATGATGCGCGATCTCGATGGCGATCCAAAATGCTCCTCGCGAATCTGCTGGGGAGGTACAATCCCTGAATCCTATTATCAGATTCAACAATCCTTGCCCTCATCCTCCACGGACGTAGCGGAAGGCGCCTTTCTGCTTGTGCCTGTGAGTCGCGGTAGCAAGGAGTATTTTTACATCGGCGAGGCCAAATTCGGCGACACAATCTCATGGGAGTTCTATACCGAGTCAAACGATATAGCTTTTAGTCTGTGGGTAGAGCCTCAGAGCGATTCTAGTTCGCCTGTGGACGAAGCAGGTCGGCGGCGACTGGGAAAAGCACGCGGACAAAACAGTGTTGGAGGTAGTGGCATGACCACCTCTTTTTCCTTCAACAACCTTCTTGGAGGACAGGGACCTGGGGGGAAGCTAGATCTGAAGCAGGTCACACGACCTGTACGCGTGGACTGTGACCTAGTACCTGAGCTGGGTAACCGAAAGGTAGATGCCGATGGCAACTATTATCTCCTCTTCGACAATTCCTACAGTTGGACTCGTGCCAAACGTATATGGTGCAAAGCCGAGGTACTAGGCTCAATTCCATTGGTTAAAGACGGAAACTTGAACAACAATTCTATAGGAGATGAAGAGCTGGAGGAAGGAGAATTGGAGAAGGCGGTAGATGTTGAGCTCTCTGAAACTGTGAAGGCGGTATGCGCACCCGACTATTCCAGTCTCTCAACACTGGATGTGGATGTTTCGGCATTAGTTATAATCCTTCTCAGAACTGTGCCAATCATTCGACGTCGATTTCGTACCTCTCGCGCTACCTCCTCCTCATCTCAGGGACTCAAATTTAAACGAGTCATAAAGACGACTGTTTAGCGTGCCTTCATTCAAACAGAGTTTATTTTTTTATCCAATCTGGTGATTCACCTCCTCTATACTTTTATATTCCCTCCTCACTTCTTTCCTTCCTTTCAAGTCCTATAGGGCGAAAATTCTCTGATACTTTGATGCAGCTCGTTTCTTTGGTCGGCTCCAACCTCTCTGTTTCCTCACTTCTTGTATGCATTGATTTCTTTTATCCTCAGGTCGTGTGTACTCACGTACGGACGATTTTTTCAATTATGCTTTGTTTTGCATACGTCACCCAATGAACCTTATGGATGCATTTCCAATTTTTGACACTGTGTATGAGCTACATTGGAGTCTGTACATTAGGGTCTAGAGGTTATGAGAGGATACACATATTGCGTGCCTCATCAGGTGTGGTCTGCGCACTTTCAGCTTGGTTACAGCTACTTGCCATATTCACCTTGATCTCTCAAATGTGCATGGAAAAATGTGCTCTTCACAAGTGTCCTGGATATATAAATCTACGCATTCTTGTGAGGTTTTGCAGTAGGAAGTCATAAATATGAACTGTATTCTCTGGAGAAGTTTGCAGATCCAGACATTCTGCCTCATATTTGTATAGAAGAAGGCCGGATGGACTTTTGGTTGTAGACGTGTCCTACAGAATGTGGGCTTATGATTTTGAGGTCAACTCTCCACTACAAAGCTTATTGGTTTTGATAACAAATGTCCAGGTCTGTTATAGCCTGCGCCTTAAAGGAGGGGAAGAGGACGGGTAGGAAAACAGGGTTTGGAGAGCATGTCATCGCTAAATTTAGGTATGCTGACAACGGAGCACAGGTCATCTCCAAACGTCTTACGAATTGAGGCAGATGTGTGTGGACGATTTCCCGCATCAGAGGTTAGAAGTTTGAGATTGTAGATGTCAGTGTTCGTTAGGCAAGTGGGCAGTACATGTAAAACTGATTCAGTGACACACGATTTGGACGTCTATGCCAAAGACAAGTAATTTACCATCACTGGAGTGTACCTCTGCCAACAATTTTTGTTGATATTAAGGTGACCTTTGCTGCTCTTTTGCATTCTCAACACTATTCCCCTTTTGACAGGCTTAGAGGATACCATCCCTGTCACCGCATATTCTAAGAGGTCGGCCTCGAAATTTTTTCCAAGCTTTCAAAACACATGAATAAGGGATGTTTAATGTAATTTCCCACCCAAGCGCTGCATTTAGACATACCTTACATGCTAAGAGCTACCGTTCTCCTTCGCCAACAGGCTTAAGTATTAAATGCCAAATTTAAAAAATTTCAGCTAATATTGAATTGCTTCGAGTATCTTAAGCTTCACCTGCTCTGAGTATCGCATTAATCGGATAAAAAGTGTCCTGCTTCAGTACATGCTCGTAAATTGAGGTGATCGCGAGACCACTCACCTACACAGTTGTTCAGGATCAATTCATGGACATAATGTAACGTATTTTTACACCTGCTTATCAATACAACATGTTAATAACAAAACCGACGTTGTCGTATCATAAAATTGTGTCGATTAAAGCTTTTTTTCTCGAAATCAACACGATAATCCTCCTTCTACGCTTCTTGTATCTTCTTGGACGAATCATGAACGAAAGGATCTATTGCAGCAAACCACACGAATCGTGGATGGGAGCACTGATTGAATCAAGGGACACGTCATCTACACGACTTACCACACATGGTATTATGTTGCATGCAGAATACAAGTCCGTGAGCTTGTTACAAATTGATAAATGTGAGACACCATTTCGGAGAGGTGGAGGTTGGCGAATTTCTAACCTACAAAGTGTTTCTTGTGCAAGAAGACAATTGCACATCAATTTGTAGGTCAATTTGATGAACATCGACTTATCGTTCTTTATACTGTTGCTTTGCTATCTGAATAAGAACTTTTATACAAAATGCCTCCAACCCAGCGTTCAGGAATGTCATTTTTACGCAAAATCATCAGACGACATTTTTCGTTTTTGCATCGGATCATTGCTGCAGCGTTGATTCTTATCTTTAGGTCACTATTTCAGCATCTTAATTAAACATAGACATGGGTGAAGTTTGTTTAGCTTTATGCCGCATTTATCTTTGTAGCCTGCCACCCATTCGCTGTTACAATGGATGGGTACCACCAGTCGAGTCATGCCTATTCACCACCAAGGGATAGGAGCCGGAGTAAGAATTACGCAGCACGGTTGGTCGAAAATTTCATCCGACCACTGCCTACCGGCTGTGTTCCATTAAAAACTAGAGCAGTCGGCAATTTGTCATAAAAATTCCACTCCATTTGGATGCGAAATATTTTCAAGACATATTGGTGCGTTTGTCAGAAGCTACAACTCCGCTATTTTCGTTCTACTACATGTCATGGCATGTAGCAACAGCAAGCACAATAACTACGAGAAGTTAACATTTGCATTAGAATGCAAAATTTATTAAGGGTTTGGCTTGTGCTACAAAAGTCTTAACAACTGTAATGGAATAGTAGGAGAACAATCAGTTGTACAGCTGCTTTGAGTTGGTCAAAAGTAGTGCATGTGCAGACTTAAACCCAAGTTGCTTGCTTCTCTATGTACAGACGCTTTCAAAGTAACGTTACATTATACTCACACTCAAATCAGGTTTTCATTTAATGACAAATTTTCACGTTAATTTCGCCAAAATCAACATTTCTCCTACGTAGATTAAGATGAAACAAAATCTCTAAGAAGACATATGGGCCCCATTGTTCCAATTCAGACGAAGCACCTGACTTCTTGTAGTGGATGAAATGTGAGGCTGTCAAATAGCGTCCGATCTAACCACACCTGTCCGGCTCAAGACGGATTGCAGTTAATAACTTTCAATGGAGCACCAGTCCTCGACACACTGTAATTAGTAACCCAGCTTGTATGAATGCGACTAGGTGATCTCCGAAACTCTATATAGCTGTAAATTTTCACCACTGCCCTTTAAAATCTAAAGTTAAAAGTACTGATGTTTAAAAACACTCTGCAAAGGTCTGTATTTACAGACCCTTGTTGACCAGTAGGGAAGTTAAGCCCCTCGTAGCCGACAATCGAATGCACTTTAATGTAATGTGGATGGGTTTTGAATGCTTACCCGCCGTCCGTAGTCCACGCAACTGTCCGGCTGTGCATAGCTCCAAGGAGCGATTGCCAGATGCTCGAAGGCTTTTATGGTGATAAGTTTTCAAATCAATTTCTAATGTGAGGTATCAGATTTTGGTACACCACTTTATAATTTTACAGTAGTCAGTAAATTGTTTTACTTCAAGATCTCCACTAGCTCAAATGTGCAAAGTAAACAGGAGAGGAATCATAGCATCAGAGACTGACGTGTTGGTTAAGATTAACACAAGTAAAACAAGTTCGAGGAAATTTGTTTGCGAATTTCGATTTTTACAGCTTACGACGTTTGATCGTTGAACAATGTCAAAAGTCTCCAAAACAACCTTATTTTCATCAATACAAAAAATTTAAAAAAAATAACACAGGTCACAAAATCTCTAAATCTTGCCATTTGTGAAAATGCTACTGGCTGTATGCTTAATCAAGCTTATGACGCATGACGCCTAACTTTTTATGTCGTCTCTAATGCTTAATGTCTGTTTAACTCCCTATTTTTATGCTTCCCTTTCACGCGATTTGTAGCTCTACTGAACCCATAAGGTTGCTATTAAGAACTGCCCGAGACTTTCAAGAACTTACCCAAATATAATGGAACAGTTCTTTTCGAGAACGTGAAAGAAATTTCGTTTCCGAAAATCTGATCATGGATATACAAGTTAGATTGTCTTCTTAAATGCTTAGAAGATAGATAAGTAAGTCAATTTATGTAAGCAGCAAACAGTTTACAACTTGTGGAGTTCAAAATGGTGGCACGCATCAAAACTCGCTCCATAGATCCAAAAGCGAGTTAATTTACCGGCAGAAAGTGTGCACATTGAGAATACGCTTAACAGGTTTCGACATTAGACTCACAGTTATGCGCATGACGATGGATCAGGTGCCTGCTCATGTTCTTAAAGTCATGGTAGTACAAATTGGAACCATTACTTGAGTCAGGTCGTCATCTGAATCGGATCCTAGTTGCCCACTTCAACGATTGGTTGAGCTCATGTAAATTGCATTTCCCCAGATTGAATGTGTCAGCCTAAGCCTTTTGAGGACGCAAGGCAGGTGAAGTAGGCGTGTAGCTATGACCGCTGTATTTCAAAGGATGTTCTGTCTCCCAAAGAAGGACTAAAAAATGCGAACGCACGAGAGCATAAATCAGGGAAGTAGGAATTCAACACATGCCCTTATCGTGTGATGGTAGACGAAAACGGCTTTGAAATAATTTATCCACATGAAAACCCGTTTTTTGTACCCACCGCACAGGCTCAGAGCCATTTTACTTCGTTTCCAATGGGTAGCCCTGTGCTCATTTTGATGTACATCAATTTCATTCAAGCTAAACTGCTCGCCTAAATTGTCTAACCTTGCGCAAACTGAGACATTCTAGGGCAGAATCGTTAAAAGCCATTTAGTAATTCGTATTCATTCGATTTTTTGTAAGGACAGAAATATGTTAGGAAAAAAACAATAGCTCGAGATGTGCAAGGTGAACTGCCACTCTACTATAGTTTATCAGTAGGAAAGCAATGCATTTACGCCAAGGTTCAACAGCACTCCCCTGAATTGGACTGTCACTTACCTTTACCATTGCACGAAAAACACCTTGCGCCGGAATAGAACCTTGACTTCTGGGTACCGAACTATCACCTCGTCGAGTGACATACGCTTTACCAAAATCGGGTTTGTTAGAACATTTAAAAGTGAATATTACCGCACAGCAGCGTGACAACTACGGGCTTGAGACCAATTCGCTTCAGATGCTTTCATGCCAACCCAAGAGTAAGGAGCAGGTGTAACCAACTCCTCAAGGGGAGAGCTCTGGTGCAACGAACGGAGGGCGCACGAAAAACTCCCTCCATCAATGTATTCCCGCCAAAAAACAGCTGAGTAGCTTGTGATGCCGAATTGATAGCATTTCGAGGGGTCGGTATCTCGTTTATCTTTGACATACCTTCCACTGATAAAGGTACTCTCATGCAATTTTAGGCTTTAGAATGAAAAATACTCTTTGATCGTACGAGTGCTGCACGCCTTCATTTAAACTTAATGTGCGTCAAAAAAAATACCACTTAACTTTACTAGAAGGAACCTGAGAACCTGTGTTTTGAGGTGAATAGGGAAGCTTGTAGATTTCGCATATGAATTATTCCATCGTATGAAAATACAACTACAATAAAAACGTGTTAGAGTATTTCCTTTTGGTTCCACGAAATTTCAAGAGTTCATAAAGGCATAGAGGTAGCAAACAGGAGAAATGAAAAGTCGGCATTGATGTTATTGCAGTGGATTTGACGATCACAATTTGTCAGAGTGGAGAGGAGAAAGAAAAGGTATCGGAAGAGTTTGGTGTAAAAAAGAATGATCAGTGTTAGGGTGAATCTACTGTACGGTTCACCTTAGGCTGTAACAGACGTCCATAGAGCTGCAAGAGTTTGTGTATTCCTGGCAGGAGCTGCGAAGATTCAGCCACGAAGATGCAATCTACCACCAGAGGGTAGATGTCAATAACACAATTCCAGGTGCTGGCATCAACTGCAATTTCAGAGGATGAAAATGAAGTAAGTTTAGTACAATGCGGGTGACTCAAACTGAATTTCAATAAATTGGCCAATAAATATGGAAAATTGACCAAAAAAACCTCTGTCACCTAGGCGGGAGAGCGATGTCACTGGCAGGACTGCATATCAATTTAAGACCAAATATTATTATGTTTTACTGACCAAGGCATTAGAGTAGAAACGCCAAGTAACCGTTTTACCAGTGGGTGCAAATTTCACCTGCAGAAAGCGGTCCGCCGGGAGAAAACGAAAATTACTACAACTGAGTCAAATACAAACCCCCTTACAGCTGTCCGAAATTCATCTACATAGACCTTTTGGGTTATTGCAAAAGGAATAAGGAGGGTGGAAAAGTGCCTACAAACACTAGTATGAAACCATTGAAACAGTATTTTGCGATCGTACGGCAGAGACAGCAATGCGACTACATAAACAGGTGCTAAAATACTTACTCTGCTTTTATCAAACAACGCGAGTAGTTTAAGCTGACTTTGAAAGTTCTGAATTGTCGTGCGAGATTTTCCAAGAGGTAATAAGGAGTAAAAATTTATTATTCACTATGCATGAAGTAGTCAGCTCCAAAGCACATCACATCCACCACCAGTATTCGGTAGTGACGAATCTGTGACTGCATGTCACAGGGTAAAATAGTGATGGAAGTGGATAAATACACCATGAACCAGTATCAATCAATTTCAACGTAATTTCAATTTAAATTTGTGTGCATCCTGGAATGCAAATCTACTCCACGTCTGCGGTTTGCAAAAGGAAATGTTTTATCAGGACAAAATTGATGCAAATCAAACGTCCATAAATTTCTACAGAGGAGAGAAGTAGAGAGCAGCGGTAAGATTGAAAGAATTTGGCCACAACTCACTCGAATTCTTTGAATTCGTTGGAGGAGTTGTAAAGTTTGTAAGGAGAACGGTCAGAGCTTGGATTGCGAAGGTGACCTCCGATAATTTCGCGCTGGGCGGCCCGTAAGAAGAGAAAAATCCAAGATTGTTAAATAGAAATGCAAATAGAAAATGCAAGTCCCTTGCAATTAACTAAAAAGGGATGGGGAGAATACGTGAAAGTATAAGACAAAAGTAGATGGGAAGCCTTTAAAAATAAGGGAAACCAAAAATAGTGGCAACGCTCCCATTCGATTGGTAACAATTTACAACTCAGTTTGCATCAGCTACCTGTGAAAGTGAAAGTGCCTGCAAAGTGAATAATTTTTGTCAGGGTGATTATTAAGAACAGCAGATGGACAAGAAGTGATGACACTTTTAGGCGTACCACATACATGATAAACATTAATTCTACCCAATTGCAAAAAAAAGTTGAAGCTGAGGAGGCTGCGCACATGAAAACACAGCAGAAAATATTTTAGAAGTGATAAGCACATAGACATCAAAAGTAGTGTTAACTTCTAATCGGTTGAACGCATTTCGACTTGTGTAAAATTGTCGCCACATTTGAACGCTAGTGAAGGAGGAGTGTTTCTCTTGCACGTTTTGCGTTTACTGAATCCAACAGTGAGTCCATCGAGGTAGGCGTCTCCTTATATGGGGCTGTGTGGTGACAGAGAAAGTTCAAAGTACATAGGCGTCACGCAAACTCATAGAACAAAAAAAATTATTTGCGCTATGCAGTGATCGAGAGAGAAAGACTTAAAACTACACATCGCATCAGTCGAGCAATAGAAGAAACCCCAAAGCACAATGAGCAAAAGAAACACTAGAGAAAGGAATAATCGAGAGAACACGATGGAGTGTGTTTAATATTTCGTCGTGCAATAATCAGCAAACTGTGAAATTACGATGAGTGTTAAGTCAATGAGACATGTCTGTTACAAACTAAGGATGTTAAGCAATCAGGTGTTGTCAACGGAAGCAAAGGTGAATAAGAGTAAAAATATCGAAGGCTCCGATATAAAGTTTACGTTTTATCTCGAAAACGGAAACCATGGCCTGCGAAAAAAGACAGCCGAGAAGAGGCAGGCAAGCTATTGACAAACAAAAATTAATATCCAACCCCAAAGTGCCCCGTGTCGTGAAAAGTTAAGATGAACAAAGAAAAAGAATGATCAAACGTGAAAAACGATTGCAGAAATCACGCTGATATGGATATGAAGAGCCAAAACTGTTTTCGACTCTTCTCGTGAGGGTTGTCATACAGTGTACAAATAAGAACGGAAATACCCAAATTATTCAAAAATTTTATCAAAACTTGTTTCCAATCCCAGCAATGCGAAAACCGGAGCACAAACCCTGTCAGTTCATGATAAAATGACTCAGGAAAACATTAACAAGTAAAAATTGGGCACTTGGTGCGATTTTTGACAAAATAATTCAGAAAAGTATGAACGCTCACCGTGGCAAAGGACACTTTCCAGTCAACTGGGTCGACTTGACGAAGCGTTGGAGGATGAACCTGCATCGATCCAAAACATCTCGAATGGCAGTACGACAGAGCATATATGGTCTATTCCCGATTGTTTGGAGCCTCAAGGTAGACAGCGGGGAGACAGAGCTGTTGCAGAGAGAAAAGTCACTCTGAAAGAAGGCAAAGGAGAGCAAGGACTCAAAACATTGACGCATGAATTTCTCTCTGGAGACGAAGGGACGCAGATCCGCATCGGCAGAGGCCATGAAAGGGGCGGCATCACCGGCACCAGTGGTAGAGGCAATGAAGATGGTGGCGGAGCGGTGAACGAAAGGCTGGAGACTAGCGAAGGCTGGAGGAGGAGGTGTAAGTGGACTGGGACGCAAGGTATTGGGGTCAAGAAGAGCGAAGTCAGCGCTGCTGATTGACGCCTCCACTGAGCCCAGACCCAACACACCAACTAATTGCTCTATGAACCTCGGAGGTAAGCCCTCCGGTCGGGACAGGAATTGGTCACAGATTAACTCGATAAACTGAAGTGAAGAGTGAAATCCGCGGCGGTGTGTAAGGATGATTTCAAGCTGTTGGCTGCGTATGCGATAACATCCAACCCTGCTCTTGGTTTAATAGGAAAACGAACTATTTGCCTAGCATATGCTATTGATGAGTGCATTTTCATGGATGCTGATGAACAATGGAAGAATTCTCGCAACCAATTTCATTATTATCGGCCAATAGCCTCAATGCATGAACTACAAATGATATTTTAGTATTTGGTTTCGTGTAATAAAGCTATTTTGGAAGCAAAATGAAGTATAATCATTTGAATCGAACTTACTTTGCAGTCTAGTGCTTCATGTTGTTGAAATTCTTCACCGGAAAGTGGTTCAACTGGTTGGCTGAAATATTTCATAAGCAAAATTGAAAAAATTCGTCAACGCGGCTAGTGAACACTTCCAAAACACTCACTTCTGACAGAAAAGAAAATCTCGAATCGTGACGTAGACCATGTCCCACAAGTCACCTAAGAATAGACAGAACAAAATGCAATAGTTCCGTTTGAGACAATCAAGAATCCTTAGGCTAATCAGCGTCGAAAATCAAGAAATAAGGAGCATCCGACTTTCGCATTCTCCCATATGGGTACCGAACTTTTTTGCATGTAAGAGAAGAACAGTGTTCAACTCATGTTGAAAATACGAGGAAAGCAAAGTATCATCGGGAGAAGATTCATTAAACCCACTGATGAAACGCCGTTTGTGGTTAATTCAGGCTGTCATGCCACTTAATGAAACGCACAGTCCAAACGTCCTCTATATAGGGAACCGACCCAGCGCATATCACATACTCGAGGCAGAGTTCGTCTGAAACTACACCGGAGCACGGGCAGTGGCAAATAACGATTGATCAATACCAAAACCAACAGCCAAATTTTAATTACATTTCCGAAGGGATGCCATCAATTTTATGCAAAAAAAAAACACCTTACAACCGTGCTGCAATGTGAGCATCAGCATCCATTGGACTCCAATGGCATCGAATGCACAAATAGACTAAAAAATCCATTTGATTCACAAACAGTATAACGGAGTTGTATAGTTCAGGATGTTACCGACCAAGTCGAAGCAGTTGCCCTCCCGTCCTTCCTCTGTTCATTGCCCTTATCCCGCCATCTATTTTTGGAGGTCGATTGATTAACAAATTGGTGTTTTGGAATATGCAATTAATAGTAATCCAATGAAATGAACGGCCTGGGCGAATTTATCGACGTGCGTTAATGAGGTGAATACTTAAATCAACGTTAAATTTGGTGATGACGGAGAAAATCGAAAGCGTGGTAAATTGCAGTTTTTGCGCGGATGTCGAATGATTTATTATTCCTTAGTTCTTTGGGTACATATGGTGTAGGCATGCCACTGCAAAGGGTGGGAATTGTGCGGAATGGAGAGGAACTAATAGTTACACATGGAGACGAAAGCATGTGTAGGAGGCCTAACAGCTGAGTTTTGGAAAATATGACGAGAAAGCACACTACAGGCCTTGTAAAACTGAACGAAGCGACTAAAGTACCCAGACATTTTGTATTTACACACCTGAAAATGATCCAAGAGTGCATAACTGCCACGCGTAGCATGAGAGTATCACGACGCGGAGGGACGAACAGAAAGGTAATTGGGAGAACAGAAGGGGATATTAAATCCCTCAAAAGGTAAGAGAAGGTCACAGAACCAAGCATCTTACCGTTTGTCGTTTTTAGGGGTGAAGATTTTTGTTTTGTGGCGATTGGAACTCCAACCGTGATGGTGTCCATGAAGCACTTACTAGCGAGCAGCCAAGTGGACCGACACTGACACTTGTACTTTGCCGCCAACGGAACGTGTAACGCCTGCAAACCAAAAATGAGATGAACGCAAACTTAAGGCCAATTAGGAAACATTATCCTTAGTTAAATTAACCCAGCATCCGCACTATGCAGTGAAAACACGAATGAGGGGGTGAAGGCCATTGGTATAGAAACAAAACATGTTCACATTTTAACCACAGCAACACAAACATGGTCGCCTAAAATCCTACAGAACCAATGGCTGTTCATAAAATTCAATCCAATACCAAGGCCCTCACAAGAATGCTGTAAACGGTGCACACAGACACAGTGAATATCCCACTACAACAACTAAAAAACCTTGGGATTCCGTAATGTTAGCGCATGTTCAAGCATTGGTGAACCGCATATTTTGCTAAAATAGCACTGTTTCGTTTCAAGATAAAATCGCATAACTCGGAATAAACTCACAATACGTAACTGACGACGTCAAATGGCTATGCCCAATATGTTCAAGAATGCAATGCTATCTGGCTCGAGTCATCCTCGAAAAAAAGACTTGATGATAAATCCACAATCATTATCCAATTAAATTCAATGCAAAACAGAGTGACTTACTTCTACCATCTTTAATAGGCCATTCGCATTACGGAGGATGTCGGAATTTGCAAAAGTCTTGTACAGTTGTGTAGCTAACTCCAAACACTTCTCAGCGAAGACAATGTAATTCATGGGTATGGCATCCACCTATCGGCGAGAATGCAGACATGAGTACATTAGCAGTAATAGAGACAACTAAAATGACGCAAAATGAAAAGAATATCGAGTTTTACGACGAGTCCAAAGGTACGACCAACGCAATTTTTGGGGAGGAATGAAAAGTAGACCAGACCAAAGGTAGCGCAAACTTACAAGCAAGATTTTAGCTTCAATGCATTTAGTGACCATTAAAACAACTCCAAAAATATAAGTCAGCAAGATGAGACAAATAGAGACATCATCCAAAGTAAAATTAGACAAGAAGACGTGATTGAAACGCGCATACTTTGATCGGTATTGCGGCATCTATACACTAGAGCTAACTGCTAACTGCTAACTGATTGCCTTCAATGGAGCCTTGAGGAACACCTCAAACACCAAAAAATGGGCTTACTAAAAGAGACATTTGATTTAAAGCAGGAGACAAGTGAGTGAAACAGAAGGAATTGCTAAGAATACGCAAACTTTGCCCTTGATACGATGCAAACAATGGTGCTTCTCCTCTGGCAGTCACTACTAAACTTTAGGAATTAACGACTCATGGCAAGACAAGGAGAATCTGATCAGACAGGAGGAGTAAAGAGACCAACGCTAGGAGACTTCAGTTCTCCTTTTGTCTAATCCATAAGGCTTCGTAAGCCTGCAATAAAAAGCAGGCTTTTATTGGGATGAGAAAAACAAAGCGCTGAGCATTGAGTTATAACCAATACAAGCTAAAACCCCGGCATACAAGTTGTCATGATCCTACCAGAGGCAGAGAGTAGATAAACAATGAACTGGACTAGGACAAATGGATACATTCATCAATATGGGTGGGTCCAGAAGAGTATAGCTTGCAACCACAATCCCAGGTGGAGACTAGTAGGGATTACAGGAGGTACGTCAGAAAATCGGATTTGGCCTGGGTCTCTCAGTTCGCATAGCCTTGAGTCTGGATCAATGAAAAAGAACGAGTTTGGGTGGGATTCTCAGTGTTGAGCGACCGCCTGAGGTTGAGGATACTACCAACAAAAAAGCATGCCTATCACCTGGTGATGAGATTTACGGAGATATGAAACAGCAAAACTGACGGCAATGTATGCAGTTTAGAGATTGTTAAAATGTAAACTTTGGAATTAGAGAAACGATGCAATGATGCCTCCTGTTTAAAAAGAGGATCAATTATAATAGCAATTAGTCCAATTGTTGCGCAGAAGCCATCGAACTGTAGAAAATGAGTGCACTGGATAAGCTGCCGATAAAAGTAGCTTCCTTCCAAAGCAGCATTTTACCCGACTTGGTAAAAATTGACGTAAGAAACTGCTTTCCATCAGGCAAACGGAAACAGTGCTTAGGACTGGGATCCAGAAGATAGACACAACTTGCCGTTCTATGTAGAAGTTGTTTAAGATTCCCACAAGACGTAATTTGGTAAAAAATTACAGGGCTTGACGAAACCGTTGGATTTCAAAGAATCCCAATGGGAGAACGTTAAACGATGTTAAATTAAATTACTGTGGCGGCCAATTGTGGAACTAACGCAGGATTTGAATTTCGCACCATCTCTGTGGTAGTGATTTAACGTCAAGACAAGTGGACACCAATCAATACTGCCTGACATCGCAACCTGATTATCCTGTCTTTAATACCTGTTTGGTTCGAAGGTAACTGCACCATATGCCAAGCAACTCGGAAAATAAATTCCACTTATGAATGAGCTATTTTTTTGTCATGCAATTTTGAACACCAAGATAATGTAATTTGACACCGTTAAACTTTTTCTTTTGAGAGTTTTGAAGACCACTGGCTATGTCAGCAATCTCACAACCACCGACGCCTCGAAAACGAAAGTTGGATGTTGTGTGAAAGAAATTTAGCCACGTGTGAGCAACCCAGGAGTGCTGATGTTCCACAAAGCTATGGGGGCTATTTGCCCATTATAACATTTTGTGCATAACCGTATTTTGTGTGCCTTACATATTACTAAACAAATTTACGGCTGTCAATTGCAACCTTGTATATTTTGCCAAAAATCACTTGTGTGAATTTGGGACACACCCTATCAATGCACACACAAGTTGTTGTCCTTCAGTGAGACAAGGTCAAAATGCAACAAACTTGTCTACACAAGGCAGGTCTACCAAGATTCGTGGTATGTAGACGCCGGGATGTGAGTCAAATTAGTGTTTAATACTAGCCTCTTTATGAATGTAAGAAAGTGCCCACTTCATAGACTTCAGCTACGTCAACAAGCTACTCGAAATCTCGACAACAATAAAACATGAAAGCTATTTAAACAATTAGCATTGAGGTTCTAATAAAGAAAGCAAAATTATTCTTTCAAAAGAGCACAAAGGAGCAACTTACAAGGTTGGAATTTGAACCTGGTCTGATGATTCGAACAGCATATAGAGACAATCGAAGTAGTAATTCAAGGAATGGGACAAGAAGAAGTTGAAAAGTAGAGTTGTTTGTTTGAACTGCCTGAAAATGATGGCAAACACTTAGTGACAGGGTGCCTATTAATAGATAAGCCCCAATAACCTACTTGTCAGTGTACCATGATGATTATCAAGGTGACTTTTTTTGCATAAATAACACGGTGTCGTGAAATGGTGCACAAAAGTAGTATAGCAACTAAAAATTCCATAAGGCTAACCAATAAAAAACGAAAAAAAAATGGAACAACGTAATGATTCAATGTGAATAAAGCAAACTAGGCGATTCAATTAGACGAATTATTAAGAACACACGAATTCAGTTCATATTAGCATAGAGGAAGACCGATGTTTCCTTTGAAACGATCCTATCATGCACTAAAACGCTAGTAATGGATTGAGTCCTATCATTAGAGGTCGCTCATTCGACAAGTGCATGGAATAGACTGCAGAAAACTATCATACATGATTTCCAGAGCCAAAAATACACGAAATGAAGTAGTTAGCTCAATTAATAATGGGCACAGCCAATTTTGCTTAATTCATGAAACCCGGAATTGTTAAAGCCACTCTGAAGCAAAGTCAGAAGCAGCCTTACCTCAGCAACTACTAAAAGGCAGTTAAAGACAGATCGTTGTGTTTGTGTGAGACCCTGCTCGTCGACAATGTTGGCAGCGGAGAACATAAAGGAAGGTGTTGTCGTCGTTGCCGCCTTTTCAGATCCATTCACACTCAACAGAGAGATTTTGTGGTTTAAAAAGAGGGGACCCAGGACACCCTGACTTGCAATTTTGCTAAATTCAGCAAAGAATGAACCATTGAAGTTTTGCTGAATCCTTGGGAACAGTGGAGGAAACAGATCAAAGAAGAGAGCGAAGAAATCGGGGCCAAAGGTGGATGCGGCCTACAAGGGGATTGGAGATCTTTGAAGTTCTTTGAATGTTATGTGATTTTACGGTGTTGTTACTTGTAACGGAACCAATGCTCAATCGTCATCCATTGTAACCGTTAGCGTGGGACAATTACAACAAATTTGGTCATGTACCGACAAAATGAGGAGACGAAATGGTTCATTAATGGTTATCGGCGGGTGATAAATAAGTTGCGAATAGCACATATCATATTCCTTGATGAAAGGAAGCAAGTGATAAAAGAGGGAAAACTACATCAATGTATTTCTATTGACCTTTGGCAATTGATAGCTTAAGTTTTAAAAATAGCCGCACAAAGATTGCAAAGGTTGCACATACGTCTGCATGTATTATAGAATTTTCGGTGTCATACTGGAATAACAGGCCAGACGTAGCCACGATTCAAGTAACGATGATAGAATGACTGGATGAACCTTGACTTGGTCAAAGGCGAGTAAGTTGAGGAATCTCAGTAAACCCGCGTTTGCAATCAGCTAAGCGAACCCATTCTAAGTCTGTCTGACCGGGCACTGAGAGCAAAGGTACAGACTGTTTTTTTTTTGGAAATTGAATTATGCATAATTATATTCGATAACACTAACCAAAGGCTCACTTTTTGCTCTTGAATTACTCTTTAGAAAAAATCGGATAGTGGAAACAACATTCCCCTTCCCAAAAAAGCATGTTTATGTAGACAAAATAGTCAGCGTTAATCCAGAAGAAGAAGAAGGGCATACAGATTTTTGTAGAACTGCACTTTGTACTTGAGAGAGGTCACTTTTCTTGGCGTCTTCAGAGAGGTTGCTGGAAGAGAAGAACTCAATAAAGTGCCCTCCAATGGATACCCAAGTTTGCCAAAAGGCCAGCCACGTGGCCATTGATTTGTCAGCTGAACACTGCGAAGTATCAAAATCCAGTAAGATCCTTAGAGTCGAAAGGGCGTTCTGAGCAATCTCCGAATTCGGTGTGAGAACAGCCCTTTCTGCGTTGAAGAGCAACCGTTCCCAGATCTCAGAAAATCGCTCTAAGAAAACAGCAGAACAATAGTCACCAACGATTGGAATAAGTCCAGGCAGCCAAGGGTTAGAAGCCTGACAGGTTCAAGACTAGTCACAATGCTTTATCGATACCACTTATTAAGCATTGTATTTTAAAAGATTTCCAATTAACAGATTTCGACTTAGCGAGTCGAACAATTAATTTTTTGGCCAGATAGTATCAACCCAAGAGGCAGCAATCACTGTATATAACTCTAAACAAAGGGTAGAAATCCACGTCCACAGACAGCGCAGCAGTTTCATGAAGAGAATGCCTTTTAAGAGTTATCACAAAATATGGCAATATTAATTGAGTTCAAACAATCCAAATAACTAAAATCGCTAACATGATTTGGAGTAAAGATTAGCAAATCTACCCCAAATAACTAAGATTTAAATCAATTCCAGTCATTTGAAGCCTCAGCGACCAAAGTTTCCCATCCATTGCAATTTTAACGATGACAGAAGCACATCAATGGAAGAGGGTGAGAGAACCATCTCTGACCAATTTAGCATGCTACAACAAATCTTTCCATTTATAACCAGTCTATAAAAGCGGGGCCATTGCAGCTATTACCGGAAATAAATTTGAATCGTTTTTACCCAGCCGATGATGCACTCGACTTAAAATGAAAAGTTTCATGGCTGTAGTCACGAAGACTCTGACTGATGCATCTGATCACCTTTCGTATGGGGGAAGAGTACACAGAGGTAAAGTAGTGCCTCAACAAACAACTTGTTCATATCCACGATGAGACCTTAGAGCAGAGACCTTTGCTACCACATCTCATTTCCATTGATTCAGCCATGAACTTGCCGGAAAGGACACATCGATCAAATATGCTGGTGGTAGAAAAAAGTTGATAAATTTCGAAAGTAGACAAATGGTCCTGCCTGTTTCGCTGTCACGAGAGTTTATGCATTACACGGGAGGCAAAGAAGAGTGACTTGCATCCAAAAACAACCAATGTATTTATCCATGGTTAAGTTGTCTAATTACATTAACATAAGCTATTTTGAAGGCATGAAGAACAGGCTGAAGAGGGATTTCGCAGAACTAAAGTGGGATTCTGAGATAGGAAAGTGAAACTCACAACACAACATTCAAATGCTGCATTTCAACGAGCTCAAAAGAACGCTATCAACTTGTAGGAATAAAAAGGTATTGTGTTGTATTGCACTGTAACAGAGAAATGTAAATAAATATTAGTGGGTGGTTAGAAGAGGATGCCTTAATGGTTTGGAAATTATGATAAAGCTTGGACACAATAACATAAGAGGTGGATACTGTACAGTACGAATTTGGTGCGAGGTCTGCCCTTATGTTCGAAGCATCTTAATAGTTGAATGAGATTACACTTGTAATGCCTTTTGAAGGGCACTTCACGTGAACTGATCGTTAATCACGCTGTGAAACAATGAATGACAGAAGTGGAGGAGCACAGATTTGATGGCATGGTCTTAACGGTCAACGTAATCCATTGCTATGTGGAACTTTGGCGCGCAAATAAACGCAGTATTTAGCAAAAGCCTTGAGTTAAAAGTACTCCATAATGTTTAAAAATTCCCAAAAATTGGAGGCGTCTTCAAGTTAAAGCATATGGCTTGTTCATATCTAAGCAGAGCAAATAACAGGTGACCAGGTTCTTCCTTCGGTGCATCAACAAAGACTCGCTCCACTGTAAACAGTGCTAGTTATGCAACTCCCAACTTCTCATTTCGCATTGATATTAAGAGGCGAAAGTTGATGACAAAAAAAAACATTCGACTACTCTACAGCGATTTCTCATCTTTCAAAATGTTTTGAACTTGTCTATATGGGAACTAACCATTCACATGCAAATCAGCCAAACAGACTTCCACCTTCCACGGTAAACTCTGCCCTTGAGTCAATGCATGTAAGTAGCAGATAACTAAATTACAAATAATTTAATTTGCTCATCGGTTTCCCAACCCAATTTTCAGGAGTGCGATGGACGATGTTAGTCCATAAGGGTTTAAGGCAACAAACCATTCATGAGCCTCGAGATTTTTAGCCTATGAATAAAGCTGAATCCCTCAAAATAAGAATTACTGCAAGAAAATGGGAAACAGCAGCACTAGTTTGGATCTGCACTTTTGAACACGTCGCTTCCCACGGAGCCACTATAGCAAAATCAGTTTTACACAGCGCCAATTGAGGTATAGAATGATGTTTTAAGAAGATAAGGTTGTTCAATTCAGGCTAAACATATGATTTATAGACATTCAAAACGGTAGTTTAGTCGAGTGCGCACTTTTCGACTGCCATGAAATGACGTTGCCTTTTCCATTAACCGGGATCGTCTCGAAGCACACTGATAGAAACAGGAGTGGTGTATTTCCAAACTTTGGATCCAAAAACTTCCTTTAATTTAAAAAAAGCTTGTTAAATTAAATTTTCTCAAATCAAGGCCAGAAAACCCTTCAGTTAAGTGAAAGTTCACCGCCTTTAATTGCAGCAAAAGCCTGTCTCAGCAATAAAAATGAAGACCTAACAACTGAAAAGTTATTGGGAAAATCTCATGATTATGCCATCATCCGCCAGTATAGTCGAATGTGGATGCAGTCTTAAATTTTTCCACAGCAGTAGATCCAACGCATTCCTAGTGCAGGGTCTCGACAGTTGAACAATTAAAGGGAGATAAATCCTTCTATCAGCAACTGAATGAGATCCATTATGCTGAAAGAGGAATGCAGGGTCAGAGGTTGCATTCCGACGATTTTATGATGCAAAGTACGACAGGAACAGTCACACCAAACAACCAAAGGATAGAGGGACAAGCGAGCAGCGTTGGATGCAAAGGCAAGACAAATCGGCATGGCCTGGTGAGCAAAGAAAATTTGATCCCCATTAGCCATCAAGATCCTACAAATTCAAATCAGAGAAATCTCGAACATCCAGAAAATTTTGTAAAAAGCTAAAATTAGCGAGAATAATGATATGTGATCCAAAGATACACTCCAAATTTGGAAGAAGTAGTGTTTCAAAAGGAGGTCGATAATAACTCAACCAGTTACATTTTAAAAGTCACGAGCTGTTAACGACCAATAAGGACCACAACTATGTGCTGATTGTGATAAATAAAAGATGTCAGAACCATCGTTTTAGTTAGTTACATGCCTCAGTAGCAAGGATTATTAATAGCAAATTCAGATAGACCAGTGCCACAAAGGAACAGATATCAAGGGCGGTAGGACGGGTATGCTTCTTTACCATCGGCTAACCAATGGCCAATGGCGGATGTAAGCTGTTGTTCCTCAAGCGTACTTAGGACTGTTCAGAGAAATAAGATCTTGGTGTCTGCAGCTGACTGTCCTGACCTATGATCGAGCGTCTTTGAGACATAAAACAGTCCACAGAACCCATTTCGATTCAAATACCAATAATTGCGATTTATTGAAGGCTACCAAATAAACTCACCAAGAGAGACGAGTTGCGATTGCTTGGAGACGAAACAGCGCGCGACACCGGAAAGGGTTAACACTACAGTCTCGGCCCACTGCTTCGCTGCAGTGTCACGAGAATGGTGAACGAGGAGGCTGCCACTGCGGCCCTCCTTCTCCATTGGCGCATTGGCACAGTACTCCTGCACATCCGAAAGCAACGGAAAGAAGACCTGCAAGACACCACACACAAGCCATTCAGCTGAGCTGAACAGCCTTCATTTCCGTTACCTTCAAGGATTAAACTTATAGTCGAGTCTATGGCGAATTTCAGTATTAATTATGGAAATTATTACGGCAGCTATGGTGAGAGAGATATTTAAAGCGTTAAAAGGAGAAATACTCAAGAATTAACGCACCATAAATACATTACACATCTACGTTTTTCATCAAGAATGAGTCCGTAAAAGAATACAGAAAAACATGATAGGAAATGCTGTAAATTTTCGGCAAATGAGTGCGCGAGAAAAGATTTTGGAAGGCTAGAAGAACAGAAGCTACTTGGAGAAGGCAGGTAACGAGTAATTAAAGCAAAATGTCTTCAACAGCAGTTATCAAAAGACGATGCCATAAAAGATTCCAAAAGTTCCCAGAGCATTACACAATTTTCGAGAAATACGGTCTATTAAAAGCTTTTGGCATGATAAAACATGGCTTAAATGAATTGTTTTTAATTCTAAAATAAATACATGAAATAGCGTTAGTGTTTATTAATCGAAGGAATAATACTGTAGAAAGGTCTTCAGGCAGAGATGAAGGTGCAAATTCGGTTGAAGGGGGAGTTAAGGAGAGGTGGGGCTGACTTACTGTCCAAAGGAGTTCAAACCATGTGTCCTCAACAAACTTAGCGCTGTGACATTCGACAGCATTGAAGAGGGTCTGACCGGCCGACTTTCGCATCGCAGGCCTCCGATCGCGGACGAGAGCAGAGAGGTGACGGAAGACCGTCACCCACAGTTGCTCTATCTGCCTCGCCTCCTCCGAGGTTGAGCGCTCGCGTTGGAACAGAAAGTCCGTCAGGTGGAGCTGCAATGCACGTCCGCAAGCAAACAGAGGAAGCATGTATCAGTCATAAATGAAGGAGCATTATTAGGAAGCTTTCAGTTCTTCCCTTACTTAGGACACTTGAGAAGGGGAAATAGCGCATGGTTTTGTAAGTTATGAGGTGTTCTTAAATTAAGAAACTAAATGGAAAGCATGACTCCGATATGAGAACCAGAGAGGTGACCGGTTAAATATAAATTAACGCCTGTGATGTTATCGGACAAAAACTAAGAGAATATGATGAAACAGTTGGAAATTCTAAATGTACAAAAGATACAAATAACCAGTAAAATGCATTGGTCTATCAAAGCTTGTGAAGCATTGGAAACTTTGGCGCTGGAATAAAATTTTAAAAATGTAGTCCAATAGCTTGATACAGCATCAACGAGACAAAGTCATTATGCGCCCGATAAAGCAGTATGCCAATGCAATAAGGATAAATATAAGGATTTTATGTAGATTGAACAAATTTGTTAATTAAAGTATGGTCAATGAACCTTCCGTAAAACGCGTTCCATTTGCATATTTATTATGCAAGCTTAAGAATCCATCCCAGCCCCGATGGTTGCATCCCGGGAAGTATAATCACTGTCTTGATCAACAAGAGGATAATAACCCTTTGTGAATGGATTTGAGAGCACAATATTCAAAGAGTAGATGTCAGAAGCATTCCCCAAAATAAGTCCAAATCGAATAAAGGAAGCATTGCAAGAGCGCGCAGCTTCCTGAGATTAGCCACTATGGGAGAGAAGCCGAATTCAAAATGTGACAAACATTGTTAACTCAAATACAGGTAGCGGACATAAGAAAGAACCACAAAACTGCGCATGTAAGCACAAACCACGATGATCAAGAACCGATATATTTTGTGTGCAACGCAAACGTAAGAGAGATTCCAATTGAGCGGTATTTCCGCGTGTACTCAGGATAAAAGGCATATGGCCCTTGAGCCAGAGTCCTAAGCTTTGTGCAATTTAAATATTTGCGCTCGAGCTCACAATATCTGCAAAGCCGAAGACGGAAGCCCAAAATAAATCCAACTTGTTCCGTAAGTAACCAACGAAAGTGTAACATAACCAGAGTGGTTGCGTGAGTGAACTACTTGAGTTATTGCAGGGTGAAAAAATCTCCCAAAACGCAAATCAAATGATGCTAGAGCAATCTGATTAAGTGGACTCGAAGAACTGGAACTTGTGTTATCTGAGTAACGAATAACAGAATTCGAAACTTCAGAGAAAGATGGGAAAACATTGTAAATTTGCGCAAAATGGAAATGGGAGATCAAGTCACGATAAATACAATAACTCCAAGTGCCTAACATTGATGCCGTCAGAGTAGGGTGATTGAAGCCTATTCTGCGGTAAAGAAGGGATAAACGACTTTGCCAGGTATAAGACGGTTAATGCGAAATGTAATGCTACGGAAGATCCCTCCAAATAGTGGAAGAGCAATAAATGTATAGCGTCTAATGAAATCACTATAGGGAAACCTCGTGTTCATTTCATTGAAAAAAAAATCATATGCTGTAAATAGGCAAAAGTGACGATGCCCACATTTGGAGCAATAGTCTTTTTTGCACCTTTCAGGAGGCAATAAGGCTGATTATATGCCTTTCAAACAGGACAAAAAAATGAATCTATGTTCAGTACCCAAATTGGAATCAATCTTTACAAAATGTAAAAGAGCAAACGCCATTAATAAAATTACAATTTGCGTAAAACTTGCGTCTCAACAGTAACAACAACAGCTCCAAAGCTTCAATTTTAATCACTTGAATTGTCGACGCATTAGGTAAAAGCAGCGGGAGGCAACAGCTACTATGGCGTAGAGATGCAGAGCAGTGTGCATACTATTATCGTATTTTCAACAGTCCGCTTTGTGCACCTCAATGTCTGGCTTCCGGGACCGTCAAAGTAGATTGAAGGCCAAAACAACATTACTAGAAAACAATTGGTGTTCAAAAAATGATTGCTAAGGGCACAAAAATCACAGAATCTGGGACGGAGTAACCTCTTCTACATCCAGCCATGTGGCCAAACTGGACTCTGGCGTGGAGACTAGCCAATGGGTTGGACATGAAGATTTAAGCCTCACCGTAATGTCCTGGTTATATCAATATAGCAACTCGGTAGCCGTTCTGAAACAAGCGCATCGCCAATGTAAACCACGTTGTCAAATCGTCTTACTCTAAGTGTAGGTGTAAGAGTTAGGTATCAATGCTACAATAATACCAAAAAATATATTGTGATCAAACGCCTATAATTTCAAAGTGGGATCAATTAATTAGAAAAGCGATGTGAAAAGCGCACAAATATGGAAAGACCAATTTCAAGGCTAAAGCAATATTCCTTACACGTAAAACCTCAGAAATTTAAAAATCGCTTTTTCACAAGTACTTTCCATGATTATAAAGGCGAACAAAAGACACGCTAAGTTGCTTAACAGATGCAACAGAATGAAAATAGGAAGCCAGACAGTTACGACTTATAAAACGTGCATACGAATATAAGTGAAGTCGCGAACAATACCAAATCAGTTGTCACAGACCACAGGCGAAAAGGGGATAATAAATAAATAACCAATAACAAATAAAAACTACACATCTTCTTCTGCAATTTCATAGCAAAATTTTCCGACTAACGAAAAAATCCAGTTGGCATCAGGATCGACTTACAATGAAAAAATCAATCTCGAAGACATATTTATCCTTAAAAAATTGCGAACCTGGGAAGAGTGAAGAAAAGTGGAATTGAATCATCCTTTAAATTATTGCTTTGGAAATTACAACATCCTCAAAAAAAATGCCACACTGCATCAATTCTGGATGATACGACAAATTTAGAGAAAAAGGGGCGTTGGATTATGCCTTATTAAGGGTAAGGAACAGTCATTCGAAATAGCACATACCAGTGAACCAACGGCTGCCAACGCGATGTTCAGATCGTACTCTTGGTGACCAAACTTGGCCGCAGTGTCCACACACGCTGGGTAGCAATTCAGATTCAGCGTAGGCAGATAGTCTGTTACAACGAGTTGAAAACATTGGAACGCTGAACGAATGTGTTTGTCACTGTAATTAAAAAAAGGACATCACACTTTGGAAAACGAATTAGCAACAAGAATAATTAATAATAAATTTTTTTGCGTGTGACGAATGTAGCATGGATAGAGACACAATCACTGACAGTCTATTGTGAGAGAAAAAAGAAAATAGCAACCGAATCCTACCTATGAGATTGGCCGATTGCCCCGATAATGTTAATAAATCGAAGCCAACTTTCACTAATCTCATCACCATAGCAATTGAGGAGGTACTGAACGCATTGCAACTGCTTTTCTTGAACATCATTGAATTTAATATCCGTCAGTTGTGTTAGAGGTTCCAAGACCAGTCGAGTCAGTTCCTATGGTCAACCAACAGCATTTGATGAAGATTTTAAGTATAGCAGTGCCAGTGACAATTGATAGGATGTGGATGTAATTTCGTCAACATTAGCAAAAATGATGATCAAGACCCGTGAAAACAAACGACTTGTAATTAAGTAATAAAAAGATGAGGCGTTAAGGAGACAACAGTAACTAATAGCGATAGTTAAAGGGACCTACTGGGTTATTCCAGAAATTCTTCGTTGGTGTTGTGGTAATAATGACCCGCTTGATAAGCAGAATGACCGCATCCACCGCCAGTTTTCGTAGCTCAACGTGAGTAACTTTGCACATCTGGAAAAATAGAAACCATCTGCTAAAATTGTGGCGTTCATGTGCAGCAAAATCAACATGTTGTAGTAATGAAAGTTAAAAAGATCTTGGTTATGTAAACTTCCAAGCACAGTTGCTAAGTTTTCCGCGAGGGGAAAACGATTGACCGTTTTTCATAATCGTGAGATGAATTATGGTAAAGAAAAGTGGAAAAAGTGATTTAGTAAAATTTTCTCTCTTCGTGTGAAAGGACCAGCCACATTCACTAAAACCACGATGCGCACACGGCAAGGGCACAAGTGCCGGAAATAGGTGCATAGTGAAGTTTGCTGTCAAATAGGAGCAGCCACCAGACGCAATTAGAATGAAGCATGGACGAAAAGAATCACATGAAGAACAGATACAAAACAGCATAAATTGGCTGCCACACGTGTTACCTAGAGCGTGCTCTACAACGCATTGAGTTGTTGGCATTAAAATTAGAACAAAATCTCAAAATCAAACAGAGAAGAATCGCAATGGCATCGATTATATCAAAATAAATCACCATAAAACCTACGATTCGAGCTATGAGAGAAGGCATTCAAATAGAGGAAAGTGCTAGAATAATTGCTCAATTTTCAATTCCAAATTAGTGACTAGGAGAGACTTTTGCAAGATGATCACAAAAATGTCTGAGAGTTTCCTTTAAACAGAACTTTGTATCGTAAGCGAAGGGAATTTCGTTCATAAGCTCTCACATTAATTCGTCTTATCGATTGTGCACAGAAGTTAACATTCTATGTGAACCAGTGGGTACATCACTCGACAAACACTACAGAAGAACTCGAATGCAAAAACGCTCCTTTAGTTTTGAGCAAGGCGCCCTGTTTTTCATAAAGGCTCATAGCTTTCATCGAAAGGAGATTTTCATTAGCTAATCTACTTTGCGACCGTACAAAGTAGTCGAATCATTTATGTTTCTGACAGAATAAGCTGACCTATTCCAGACCAACAGTGATAAACCCAGACATTTTAAAGCATAAAAAGATGGAGGTCGCTAGTTTCAAACAGCCACGATGAGAAAGCTGTATAAAATGTTTACCGGGAGTACAATTGAAAGTTTGAACAATCAGCCTTTACAGACTGAAGAATAAAAGTTCCAGTATCGATCTTATCCGCTGAGGAGCACTGGAGAAGTAGAAGTATTTAAGCAGAGCTTCTATTTTTTGAACATCGAATGACCAAACACATCTGCAATAGATTTTTTACCATAACTCACTAAGGCTTGAGAATATCAAATAAATCATTGATGGCAGCAAGTTGCTTCCATGGACAAATGATTGGGCTGAATTACTGTGACCATCTATACCTTTGTAACCGGTTGATGCATTCATAAGATAATAATCTAGGAATGTCTCGAAGTAGGTGTGTTTGCTAGATCGAGATCTCCGCTCTTGAAAAACGTCCAGCCCGATAACTCCCAAAGTACTGATTGGAAATTGAAATCGTTTCAAGTCAACATTAGACTTTGCTTATTTACTATACAGAAACCACTGCTCCATTCAAAGCCCCTTAGAAAAACACAATGTCCACAAAATTTGCAGGTCGACGTGCAATGTGCGAAATGTAAAAGGGTAAAAAAAGTAGAAGGCTATTATCGCACTTTTTGCACATCGACAGGTCTTAACGATGTGGCATAGATTAAGGAGTTCGATTATGTACCGATGGAGAATAAAGTGCTCAAAAATTTGACGGGATTCGATCATTACTTATCAGCATGATTTATATAAATGAACGGAAAACAAGATTTTTCCAAAGGATACGCCAGCAAAAGCGATGCTACTGTAAAACAAATGGGCGAAAGTTCGAAAATAAGAAACCAAAATGGTGAGTTGGAAAGTGAGGAACAAAAGCTGAGCACTGTTAAGGTATATGGGAAATTAGTGGATGCTAGGATAGTCATAAGATTTATTGACTGTATACACACATTTGATAAAAATTGGAAAGTTGTAATGGGATAAAGTTTGGGCCAAAGTGAAAAAGGTGAACGGAAACAATAAACAAGCTGATGCCTATCCATGTGAGTATCGAACAACTTGCAAAAGCGGTACGACTATGTTTTATCCATGTTCAAGGTTTTGCTTAAAATCGAATCACCCACGTCAATACCATAGAGAAGTGCTAGACCAAGTTCCCAGTATGAAACACCTATCTTCATATATGTGACAAAGTTACAAAGTTTCAATATTAAAATAAACAATTGATTTCTGCATTTGTCAACAGCAAAATGAATCACGATCATAAGCGCCCAGACTCGTTAAGGAATGGCGGGCCAATAGATGGGAAAGAAGAGGCTAGCCAATCAGGAAGATGGCTTAATAGCGACATTAACAGTGACGTTGCGATCACAGAAGCAAGAGCCATGACGGACGATGCGCTCAATCTGCCTCCTGAACCTGACCTCTCGAACTGCACCCGATATCCCGGACTTGAGGCCTTCGACTTGCATTATAAGACAGTCCATGCCTACCTCTCTCTGGGTATATGCTTTTTCGGTACATTCACGAACACACTTAACGCAGTAGTTCTAACTCACAGTCATATGCGCAGCCCCACAAACCTTCTCCTCACATCGATTGCCATTGCCGATTCTGTGACGATGGTCGCCTACGTAGCCAAAGACGTTTACTTGCATTTTATCACTAGCCCCGATCCTACAAGTGTACCCCATGGTCGGGGCGGTATCTACTTCGTACTCTTGACAAACTTCACCGCCATAGCAGGACACATATTCTCAACAATTATGACTGTAATGCTGGCTGCATTTCGCTGCTGGATGCTCTATCGTCCGCAGTGTCAGGTGTTATACAAGCACATTAAACAAACTGTTGCTGTAGCGGCAGTTCTCAGTGTCGCAATGTTCGTGCTTGGAATTTCTGCTCTAGTTGTGGGCAAATTAGTGCCCCCAATAATACCACAAAACAACACACAAGACTACTACTGGTTCGCAGTGCGTGAAGGCCTAGATTATGTAGACCGGGCCAATTTTGTCATCTACGGGTGCTTCAGCAAATTGGCCTCAAGCATACTTATTGCGTTCTTCACCGGACTCATTCTAGCAGCCATGGAAAAGGCAAGGCGTAGATATTTGAAGCTGAAACATGGACTCCCAAGGCCAAAAGCATCAAAGAGTGAAAAATCGATGGATATGGAAGAAAAGGATGTGGGAAGGCGTGAGTCGAGGGGAAACCACCGAACAACAGTGATGCTAGTCGCCGTGGTGGTGAGTTTCATTATTACAGAGGCGCCGCAGGGTGTGATAATTACCGTGGTGGCCATTCAAGACTATTGCTTCCTCTACACCTTTTACGCACCTATCGGAGACCTATTGGATCTGCTTGTTTTGCTTAATTCCTCTACCAATTTCATTCTCTACTGCGTCATGTCAGCGCAATTTAGAAAGAGTTTTAAGGAGCTTGTCATGAAAGAGCTGCTCCAAAGATTGTGCCGGCAGAAGAGTGCCAGGTCTGTACACGGGCAAAACGCCAAACGATCAGTGGAGACGGCACTTGTAAACCAAATCTAGGAGTTTGTATAATACGGTAGGCAATATTTTACTTATGACGATTTATGACTTCCATATATGCTTGATCGTAAACACTTCTAACAGCTTCTATTGCGAACCTATTTCCATTATTGATATTAAAATGCAAGACAATTGCTCGCTCTTTTAAAAGGTTAAAGTGCCAGTGATGTCACTCGAGGAAGCATTAATGGGTAAATGAAACCAATTTTTGACCACAATTAACAGCACGATCGAAAAACTCAAGGTGGGTATAATGCCCGTGTAGACAAGTTTCGAAGAAGTGGCAGTAATAAGGGGCACAGAATAGCAATAGCCTTTAAAGGGGGGTAAAGTTGGTTGTGGGATATGTGGCAAAAGTTAGAGTACACTGCGGCTGCTCAACGCTTTGTCGAAATTCTCGACATTCTTGAGGATGATTTGGGCGATGAAAACTTCCCCTAACACGAACAAAGAGGCGTGAGTCCGATTACGTTTTAAAACGTGCAATCAATTAGAAAGCTGCCGCGAATGTGAAGGTGGATTTAATACTGTTCTGCACAGCAAGGCGAGCATTAATAAGGCAATCTCACTTCCGGTAGCAACGATATCAACATATGAAGTTTGGCAGCATTTTCTGATGCTTTCAAACAACATTGCATTAAGCTTTAAGCATCATTTCACCCATTTGAGTACAAAAGGGGAAGGTATTTGGGCCAAATAAAATACAACTGGGAGTCCAACCAGCGCCAAATTACCAAAAGACTACAGGAAAATAAGTACGAAGAGTAGTCGCCATACCATAAACCCCATGCCGAGTTGTTGCTTTGTTTACAATACAAGTGGGCAAACGAAAAGTTTGAAAATCAAACAGAGGGTATATGCTGCCCAAATCAGGCTACTTGATGGATGGCTCCTTGTAAACTAATTTAAAGCGACGGATAGTTTTAGAAACAGTGAACCCCCATAGATGAAGTGTACGCTGGAGATTCCATAAAAAGTGGAAACTTTTCCAATTTTTGCTATTGCGGTGCATTCAAGCCTATTTTGACCTGTGTGTGATAAATGGATAACCGCGAAAGTTGTTGATTTATTAAAGGACACCTTAACATTCGTGGACTTGGTAAGTCTAACACAAACATTAATTCTGAAACTAGTAAGAATTATGTAGGTACCTACTACATATACTTCCGAGCTTCAACGACAAGGAAATTTTCCTAACTTGAAGAGCCGCAAACTAAGATTATGTAAAGTTTTTCGTAAAAAAACTTACGTGAATAATAACCATAGGCAGCAAAATGTTAAAAAAAATGCACAGCTATATTGAGGTATTGCATGACATACCAATAGATATTTCATGATGCAGGGGCAAGTAGACAGTGGGAAACTGTTGTAGATGTTAAAATTAGACTAAAACACAGCTTAAAGTTATCAAATAGTTCGGAAAACAAAAGGAATTATAATGTTGACTCCGCATTTGCGCCACATTAATAGGTGCACCAACAAGCACATGGTTTAGTTTAATTTCACAACAGCAGCGAAAATATGTTAATATGAGCCACGTAAAAGAAAGCACCAACTCCACAGAACCGTAAGAATGACTCAAATGAAACGAATGGACGCTATTTTAAATGCGGATAAGTTTCGAAGCAATTGATACGCAGCTTTAATTGTCCTTATCGAAATGGACAAGGTGCGTAGATAGTGTAAAATACGCTTATTGGAAACTAATAAAACCACTCGGTTTAAAAGAGCTCAAGGCTAAAAAGATTGGATCAACACCGGAAGGGCAAGATAGGTGAAGATTTAGTTTCTAAAATTGAGCTTCTTTGAAAGGAGTCCAATTCTAAACCTCCCATAAAATTAAAATTGGATACATTTGAAGGATTGAGACCTGATAGCGATTAAAGCTATTCAAAAAGCTAATAGAAGTTTGTCAATGCCAAGCCCATTAATAACGGGCTATGCGTAGCGTGAAGTAGCAATGTTGTACATTGTGGCAATGCAAAATGTCAGACTATGGAAGAGGAAACGTCAACGCATAAGTTTAGAAAGAGGTATTCAGAAAAGGATTAAAGGACAAGAAAGAGGACTTCAAATATGACATTCGAAAACCGCAAAATGCAGCTAGTGAAAGGGATAACAAAGAATGTAAGGAGAGGGAGATCTGCTGTTTAATAAATGAAATCAAGCTCCCAAGTGTAAACTAGCTGTTACTCTCACGATGCCAAGTACACAAAATATAAAAAGATGATTTCTCGGGTAATTGATGTCCGGCAATTTTAAGCAAACAGATTATCCAAAATAAATGGCCGAAATTGATCGGCTTGGGCAGGCCTGATTGTGTCAATAAGGTGGCGAAATGCACCACAGTCAATGGTGACTGTTTGCCACTAAGGCAGCCGGTTATCGTAAAAGTATAAACAGCTGCATCTTAGTTGATGAAAGGCAAAAGCGAGATAATAACGAGCCCACCAACCGATCATGAAACTAAGGTGTGAAATTTCCCACCTCAGAAACATTTGTTCCTACATGGAACGCACAGCCAAACACTGGGCAGCTATTTAAAAGGTCCCAAATAAGGCGTGAACTCAAGCGCCCAACCACTCTTGACCCTCATCAGCTGGCCTCAAGAAGTTATTACACTTGGTGCTGCCAATCAACCCGAGAGAACACGAGAACACGATTCCAACCTTTTCAATACTGACAAGGCGAGATAAATTTTGGTGGTGCTTAAGCACAACAACGAACACTACAGGAGCATCCAATTCACTGGATTGATTGTGCGAAATTGATAATTGGGCAAAATAGCTGCACTGCCACCTCCGAAAAGAACAAACGCCGGTTTTGTTCTTAGATATACATTCAGGTGTAATAAATAGATAGAAAAAAGGATGGCATACGATAAATTTGGTGATAAAAATCCCAAAACTGCAAATCTCACCAATGTGTTAACGCAGTTAGGGCAAAAGTATGAGGAAGAAGAACCAAAATAAATGGGCTAAATTTTGGAAGAACGGTACGAAGACCACACTATTTTGCGCGAAAGCAGCATTAGCACTGAAACTCACAGTTAGCAGTTGGTTGTTAATCGTCTTCCACCAAACATTGAGTCGATGAAGATTCGCCAAGCCAACTTCCGTCAGTTTCACCACGGAGAAGTGACTAGGGTCCTTCCAAAACACGTACAAAATATAAGCTTAAACTACAAGAAAATAAGGTCGTATCGCTATTTTAATGCACAGAACTAATAATCAACACAACTAAAAACCACATTATGTTGAACAGGAAGGCGATCTTTTTTAACGTTAACGGTATTTACGGTTCGTTGCAGATGCAAGCCTGACCTTGAAAAAGAAAGCCTAGAAAATACAAATTCGTTGGAGAAAAATTGAACGGTAGGCTAAGATATAATCGGTTTCGTGTATCAATGCGGGTTCGCAAAAGGGCGAAATTCAGGAAGAAAGTGATTGAAAGGAAAGATACAACTATAGAATGAGTAGAAGCCTGAGTCATGACAGTGAAAAGAGTATTAGAAGCAGTCGGGAGGACATTAATGCTTTTCTTTTTTTATTTAAATGAAGAGGCAGGCGATGTAATGGACAAGAAGGACTTTGATTAGGAGATTTAAGTCATAAAAAGCGCGAACCTGCACTGTGTTTAACAACGTCACATCACAGTCAGGCATGGAATCCATATTTGAGTTTACTGTAGAGAGGATGTAATGTTCAAAGGGACAAAAAGTAGTTTGTAGACAAAATGCAAAAGTAGTTAAAATCAAGGCAAAACAACTAAGGATAACCAGTTTTTGGTGTTGATTAATGCATCGGAAATGGTCACAAAAGACGAAATAGTTGTATATTTGGGAACGTGAGAATAACGGGAGCATAAAACTTGGCCTTGAGCAAAGGAATTTTGTACGATTCATAGAAATAAGAATATGATTATTAGATCACTAATCGGCCTACAGCTCCTGTGAGCGAAAAAAATTGACCAACTGCACATCTTGCACGAGTGTGGCAGAGGAGGGACCACGATTTTCATTGTGTATAACTTTAACTGTAATGAGCTGCCAATACCAAAAAACCTAAAACACACCTTTTAAAAAACTGAAACTTGAGTGAGTAAGAGTCCTTTCGGACTTCGAAAGCCTTAAAATAAGAATAATCACAAAGTTAATTTATGCTCAAACTCAAGACAAGTATAAAAAATAAACAGTGTTGTAGACGGGTGTAGCTAGCACCTCAACGGGTTACAGCATACATTAAAATTCTCCGCCTTAAAGAGCAAATTCTCGCCGTCAAAAAGGTTTCGAATTTGTTGTGCAAATGTTCGAAAAATCCAATAAAGTTCTGAATTTTATCCACCTGATAGCGATGTAAATAAGGCACATCTCAACAATGTTGTCTACAAGGCCTCGAACAAAAAAGATGAGGACTATAACAAGAGTAGGGTGCAAAAAGAAGTCTCTTTACCACCTTCCTGAGTTTGGATATTATTAACAATCGCTTGCAAAATAAACGCATGTTCACCAGGAGAGAGGAATGTGATTGTACTATATAGCCGATAGTAGGGGATCCACAAAGTAAATATCCGCTTTAAGTGTAGCAGTAACAATGAGAGCATTTCAAGAAAATATGAACAGCACAAAGTTGATCGAAAAGCAAAAATGTAACGTGATCCCGATTGCTTATTTTTAAATTAATTAGAGGAGATAAAAGTGAAAGTGAACAAAGGCATAGAAAACAATGGCTATATCATAAAATTCAAAGCAAGACTTACTCGGTTGGAATTTGCAACTTCACATGCCTCAGTGGCAATGCTGCAAAGAGCTCGAATAAGGTAACCGAGAGCAGTCTCGTCGAAATTTCTAAAATTACAAGGTAGAATGAGCAACAGTGGAATTGTCTTATGCAAACTTATCGCTCTTTGTAACCGTCAAAAAGTACGGATGTGTGTAAAAGTGCAGTTTAAACAAACTAAGGCAGCACTGGAGCGATTGGATGTAAGGGATATTTGTGGAAAGAGGTGTGCAGAGAGGTGAGTAGGCAGGAATGTGGTAGTGTAAGGTGAAACGATGGTGTAATGACTAGTGCTGGTAATATTATTACAACCACTGTCTAGACAGTTGTTGGTAGGCAAGTAATCCGTCAATCAATCGTCAGATCATTTTTATCTGTTGAAAGAATGCAGCTACTCTAGCATTGTTGCTCCGCTGATATTCAGTGTAAAAGCGCCTTCGAGCACCCTGGTTTAGGCAGTCGGCAGCACAAGTGGAAGGTAATGCGCAGAGAAATGAGGCAATTATCTTTTGCACAGGATAGAGGTGTAAAAAATACTGAATCAGAAAATTTTCACGATAAAGAACAACTCAAGTGATTTTATGATAAAGAGATAGGAGAGGATTAAATAGACCCAAGCGTAAGACCAAAGTATTCCACAATTTCGTGACCTCTTGAGTCGAACAAAATACTGATCAAAGTCTTTTTAATGTAATCAAGCATTTCAAAAAAAACCATGGAATATTTATGAGCATAGTGAATAAAACCGGGAACATTTTATTCGAAGGTAATTTAAACGAAAATGCTTTCACTAGTCATAAAATAGGATGTAATAAACCAATTCAAAAGAACTTCTAAATGAAGGGACTTGGTGAAATTAGGGCAAAGTGAATGCAGAAATCTAAGGTAACGCAGCATTTAACCAACCATCAAACATTTTCCCATTATAAAAGCAAAGATTGTTGCACATAAAGGTGAAAATGTGATATTAATGTAGAATCTAAGTGTTTTTAAGAAATCGCACTGCTCAAATAAAAAAGAAGGGCGCACTACCCAAATGCCTCATTTTGATTAAGGTAAATGAATTGAATTGGCTTGGAGAATTCGAATGAGACCAACAACACGCGTTGATTGGCCACACCAAGGGAGCAAAAAGGTAGATGCGCAAAAAAAGTATCACTTGCATTCGCATCCGGTTTGAGGATAAAACAGTTGCAATACCGACCAAAAGCTTTAAACCACGAATGATTGTTTGACTTTCAGCAATGAGGATAGGGAAAAAGTGCCACAGTACAAGAATGTACTTTAAGAGACAAACCGAATACCAAAAGGAGACATCACGAAAAGAAACTCGCAAAGCAGCAGTGCTTTTGGATAACTTTGATATTTAAAGGAAGGACGGGTATAGACGCTTGTGAAAAGTCAGTTCATGTGACAGAACGGTGACGGCATTCTGTATCCCGTGCTGATTACGTTGAAAATGAAACAAATCGAAGGAGTGAAAGGGTGCACGTTCGGAACGTAGTACACGATAGGTCGCAGCCTTCCTAAGCAGTTGCACCACTGACATACTGGCCAATGAGTTCCCAACACGAATCTCAAATCTCCCATTTTTAATGCCAACAAAAACAGATAATGCATGTGATGAAAAAAATTGATTGCTAAGTGTCTTGTTCAGAACAGATAAGCCCCATAATAGTGTTCTCACTCGGGGAAGCGATCTATCTTTAATCCTTAGTAAAAGGGACAAGACGATAAGTGAGCCGTGTTACTACCCATTTCGAATGTGATTTAGAACAACTGTTAACCGCGGAGGGGTTGGGGATTTGAGTGCTTAAGCTCTTACTGTGACCAAGTCAAAGTACGCCAATCGGGTCGACTTTTGGTCAAACCCACACATGCATTCCTCGTAAAACCATAAATAAACCGCAGTTCATACAAAAAGGTGTCAAATGCATTTTAAGAGCCAATCTTTATCAAAATTAAACAAACATTCCAGGGATCTCTAGTAAAACAAGTTAAAAGCAAAAATCAAGCCTAGTTATTAGGTATCTGGTTATCAACACATTCATATGGGCTAAATAAGAAGTCTTCCTTATAGAGGGATGAAGGATTAGTCAGTTGAATTCTACAAAACTGCACTGTATGGAAGTTTCGGTGTCAGCATTGTATTTAACGGGCAAGATTCGAAATTGGAAACACTTTGAGCCCAAAAACGTGGGGAAAATAATACGTTCAAAATGGATTCCATTACGCTCAAATAAATTGGATGGCAGGTCTATCTACATCATTCGCATAAAAAACGGGAGCAAACAATCTAGGAAATTCAGAGGAAAAAAAGAAACTTTTCTAGCCTTGGATTACAGTTTGCAATGGAAATCGTTTTTGTTTGAGCAAGGTAGAAGGAGATACCTAGAGTACTCAAAGATTGAGGAAAGAGTTTCCGAGAGAGTTGGCAGCTCACTCAGAACCTTTGAGACTACGCTGCCGGTCTGACTGGAAGAGCTGGATACGCCTGACTTCTCAAAGAAGCTTGTGTCTAGAAACATCGACGAAAGTGGGTTCTGCGGGTTCGACGCCACCGCTTTCGTGTTCGATGCCGTAATCAAAGGAGCCGCCTTAAGCCCAAGCATCCACACTAGGTGCTGAAAGTAGCAATGGATGAATAAGAACAAACACTTAATTTCTGTTCTGTATGAAAAAAAGTTTGCGTTTCCTATGTCAGCCTGCATTCAATTAAATCCTGCGAAGTACTTGATTGCATAAACATTTAAATGGTAATAAGGGAAAAGGACGATCGGCTGAACGCAATATGGAGAAACTTGATGGGTGCAGAGGACATACATCACTACAAGCGTGGACTTGATTTTCACTTTACCACCCAAACATTAGTGAGTTGAAAAAAAAAAACGAAAAGCAAAGGTGAAATGGTAAGGCATAAAAGTAGGCAATGGATGAATGCATAATGATGGCAAGCTAATCCATAGGCGCTAATAGGACTGTTATCAAAAAACTAACCATGAACAGGTCGGTCGCCTGGTGGCTAGAAAAGTTTCTTAGGAACGCAAACATCTGGATTGACAGATAACATCCACGCAGTTTTATACGCATCAAATAGAATGACCTGCCTATGAAACTCAAAACGAGGAGGCCCAGAAGTGCCTTCGCAGAGCTCTAATAGCGCAAGAGGCAACAATTTATTGGCGCTAGAGTGTGTGGTGAGATCAATGCAAAAAATGAATTTTGTCTGATTAGGACAAATGAGTGTTACAAACTTTAGTAAGTGAAAAAGCGAACCACTAAAATGTCGAAGCTAATTAAACAGATAGTGGAAAAAAGACGGCCTCTAGCTCTTATTTCAAGACATTTAGATATCTTCAGATAACCACCAAGTGTGGTTAACAGGTTGCTTATTCTGGCGGCTAAAAGGACATTCTTAAGATAATTTGGGGAGATTATGGCTTTTCCCAATAAAAGAAACTGCACTTACCGTCTTAAAAAGATCCTATTCAGCATAGAACTCCAAACTCACAAACAATTGGATGGGCGAAGCATGATCTCATTAGTAACTATAAGAAAATTGTTAATTGAAAATTAGAACGTTCCGGGGGAGCTTTGAGTACATTACCCCAAATGGATTCCCGTTTGGATAATTATTGCTGCACAAATAGATGTAATTGTATCACAAATTTTGCATAAGACCCTTTTACCCCATAAAGTGTCACATCTGGCATAAATATGCGTCCTTAAAGGTATTAGGAATCGTACAAATAGAATGGTTTACAATTGGCTTTAAAAGTGGTTGCGGAAGGTCGAAGCCTTTCCACAATTAACAGCAAAACTGTTTCAGGTCTTGAGATGATGTCTTTTAAACATTGTGAAAAGTGTATCGGATTGTTCTCATTGACTTCTGCGAATAAATATTTTTAAAAAATTGACAGAATTCAGCGACGAACCAGCCGATTTCTGTCGATGCAGCGAAACATTGAAAAGCAAATACTTCGAGGTATACATCTAATGTGGTCAACATTCTAGCGGATTTAGAGAAGCGAACATTTGCAACCTTCGGTTGTTTTAAGGTTATATGAACTTCGCAAGTGACCGAAACAGAGTTCATTACAAAAAGTTTTTAATTCTGTTAAGAAAAATGCGCATTAGAGAGAACTTTGTTACCATACGAAACAGTAAAAAACTCAATGGTGAGCGCAATTTTTTTGAGAGATTTGTACAAGTTGTTTGGTTCGTATTTTTTTCAACTGCAAAACAAACGTAAATCGAGATACATAGATGATACCTCCTCAAAAGCAACCCCTAAAATCTAATAATGCCAATTATGATGCTTCCAATAACCTCAAAAAAACACACACATTGACCAATTTTGCATTTGAAATGCGAATGGTGAAGTGTGTTATATCGATGATGCAACACCTTTTGATGAATTTGGAGACTACTAGCAGCTTAATTCACAAGCCACTTTGTGCAGTGCTGGATGCATTACTTAAAAGTCATGCGTACATGAGCCGGCACGGAAACCGTAGATGTCCCAACCACGGCCGACAAAGCGGTAAAATATCATGAGCGAATTTCGTTGTAGAGTAGGCGTAAAGCGCATCTCCATGCGTTCGCCAGTAGGACTGATGAAGCGCACCATCGATGTGCACCATTCTCACGCACATTCATAACCCCAAATGGCCTTCGTTATTAGTACATCTACAGTCTGCCTGCCCTTGTTGTTGACCAATCAGGATAGTGAGAATGCAAGTTTCAAAACCTTCGAAGTGTCTATCAATGAAAGATGAGCAACGAAACGATGGAAGGGATGCCAGCCTGTACTGAGGCACTCAAAACAGCTTATGGGACATTCACGGAACAATAGCACATGCTGCAAGTAAGATCAAACCAAAAGCAAAACCATCTGCTTGACCAAATTATGCTCCCTTTAAACTCCTTTACGATGTGGATAAAAGTTAAAAACAGATAAGGAAATGAACGGCACTGGTATAAATGGCATAAAAAGGTGATAGTTAAATCAAAGTTGAGTAATTCCCTACTTGGTCATACTTTGAGACGTTCATGTAGTGGCAAAAGGTTTCGAGGTGTTGAGGTTAGAATAGAATGACCACTACGCCTCCACATGAGGCGCCGAGGGGTACGAGTATTCAGCATAGTGCGCTAAAAGCTAATCGCATATAGCCGTAGCATACATGAGCAATTTCACAAAACTCTAACGTAAAATAAATTACGTTGAATGGTAATGAACCAAAAACATTGACGTTTTGGCTACCAAAAATAAGTATACTAACCAAGCCACCTTTAAGCAAGGCAAATTTTTGGTCACGATGATGTTAAACAAGGCATATCTTTTTTTACCAAGTTAGAGGTGTGTTATTTTTTTGAAATAGCGTATTAATTTAAGTCGGATGACCATGAAACTAACAAACTTCTGATGCAGCCGCGAAACCCAAACCAGGGATTCATTACAACGAAACACAAAATATGTGGAGGGCAAAAGCAATCAACCATGAATGCTCATTTTGGAGGTAAGCGCACATGGTCCATTGAAGCATGGTAATCCGACGACATGGCGAAGACCACCTCACCTGCATGGTTGTAAGCACGAGATACCACGATGAGTTGAGTAGAAAACCATTCGTCTTGGCTAACTCGAACAGTGCTTTTGAAACTTGGATGTGTTTGGCTGTGATGAAAAGTGACGGTGTTTGAGGTCCATAAGGGCTGGGAGAGGAAAGGGGAGTCACGGCGGTAGTGTCCATAGCGCAGCTCGGTGAGGGGGGGATCACCTCAAGGCTAAGGTTCCCCGGGCCGTGACTAGTGTTCACCACAATCACAATTGGACTTCGATCGGTAGCCTCGTCCAGCGCTTGCTGTTGATGGTGCGAGGGCTTGGAAACATCTGTGAGCATCCCGAAATAAAAAAGAAAACTCCACTGATCTACGAAAAGCAGGAACTAAATAAGCAACTACGCAGGCTGAATAGTACCTGCCTGATGAGAAGAGGTGTTAGCCCAAAGATGTACTAAGAATTGGGATTCAAACCAGACTACTATCAGAAAAAGGGAAGTATGCAGCATAATCCTATATACTTCCCGACTCCAGCTGACGAAAAAAATAATTGGCAGCAATGGCCATTCGGAACACAAACACTGGTGAATTTATGCGTGCGTAGTTGGAAAAGCTTGATCGATTCTCTATGAGACCAGATTTGGACAAAATAATAACGCGATGGCGCAAATTTTTAATTTTATCATTTGCCACCTTCATATATTTTTAAGCTGTAAAAATTGTGAAGCATCCCAATGCATTTAACTTTTACTCTCGATTGAAGCAAACTAAAGTTTCGCATTAACAATTTCTTGCCCAAATCTCCAGAGAAGGATAAGGAAAGGAGACTACAGACGTATTTCGATCGTACTGCCCACCAATTACAAATGACAATAATCAAGAAGCTTCAAAGTGAATGAAAATTCGCAGAACTTAAAGTCGACATGCTGGATCACGGAAATACCACTACATTAGCCTTTTGATGGAAAATACGTCGAGAAGAGGTTAATGAGCATATAACCTAGAGGTATCAATATAATGGTAAGCATTTTTTTGCATATTCCACAAGAGACCCAGAGGCAGTAACTTCACTAATTAATTCGCAAGTGATCTTTGGTATAAAAATTTAAAATTGAAGAGAAAGTAGATGGATGATAACATTTGAGCAAGCAGAAATAGAAAACGCACAAGTAACTGTCCATAAATAATGGGTTCACGGTGGACCATTGTTAGGAAAGAAAGCAGCTACAATTACTGCTAGAGCATAAGCCCCGCCATAGGCCTCCCCGACTAACTACCACAGCTGGAACTAGCACAGTCCCAGAAATATACCAGGCTATAGCATGGCAATAAAGCACAAAAAAGCTATGCGGTAGACAACATTAATAACAGTTTTCATTTCCAGGAAAATAAAAGTTTAAAAACGAAATGAAATTAAATTCATCCATGCTAATTAGGAACAACCAGCATTACAGCCATTGACTGTATTTGTAGACTTTAAACTATGGAAATTCAAGTAACAGCAGTACATTAAATTTAATTTTTCCAAGGAGCGAAAATGTCGAAAAATAGCGGTACGCTTTACGGGATGTTGCCTAATCACATCTAAAGTACTTTATAGTTTTAAAAATCATTCAAAACAATTTCAGATACGTCTGCACAGATGACGAGTAAATCAGTAGAACATTTTGAAGGGAGCCGCAGGAAGACCGCGGAAAATGCAGCTAGAGCCAAAGTAAGTAGATGTAACAGTTTTTCGAAACCATAATATGCGACTTGGACAGAGTAAAAACAAGAATGAAAGGACAAAAATGTCATCTAAGTTTGAGAGAAATAATCACCTATACAATAGAGGGGAAATAAAATCTACGTGAGAGGACACAATACTTAAACTATCATTTTAATACAATGCGGGGAGAAATAAGTTTCAAAAGCAGAGGGCAATATTTGGTTTTAACAAACTGTTATAAAAATGAGGAGTAGAGTTTACACGTATCGTCAAATGTATCTCGAGCTGAACATCAAAAGTGAAAACCGCAAATCCGTGATTGAAGAAATACCCTCAATAAGTAAGCGTCCTTTCCAAACTCAAAGTAGGCCTGCAAACTTCTTTACAAACCCTCAAAACGCAAGACCTTAAAAACGAGCGTCGAATTGGGTCAATGTTAGTGGCAGATCGATTAATGAGGCTTAAGAGTGGGGCTACTGGCATTTCTAATGTGCAAATGAATAAGCCGTTTCTGTATTTGAACGCTAATGTAGTGGAGTCGTCACAAAAGGCTTCCGTTGCACTTGGAATAAGAAATGAGTCAGTTACACCAATCCCTAACACATGTATACAAAGGAAGCTAGGTTTACCAAAAAAGTGCGGTAACTTTTGGATGTTCGTACTTACAAGCTACAAAACATAACAGCTGCTTGCACAACTCATGACTCCGTAGGCCACACTAGGTGACATTTCACCTAACACAAAAAGAAAAATTGCCCTTCCGAAGCGATGACGATTAGAAAACGCATAAATTGGAGAAAAGCACACAGTGTTCTAGTGAGTCCCTCATATTGCACTGCACTACTATGCAATGTATAATGATCACTTGATTTCTACTGTGAAAAGTGGGGAAATTTTTCGCCAAGAAAGTGAAGAAGACAATACAGGAGGTAACAAGTACGAATGGGGAACAATTAAGAATCATAGAGGAAGAAGAACAAGTGAAAATACCTAAAGAGACAACCATGTTTTCAAACAACATTATTTAAACCGAGTATAAGAAGGTAATACATCCTCGAAAAGGTAATAAGAGCTTACAAGCCTCAGACTTTACTCCAAAAGTAATTAACCACCATCAATACTTTGACAATCATTACATACACGATTAAAAAAAAACAGCAAGGGTGGTTGGATGAAAACGGAAGCCTTTGTAATTCCGTCGTCTGCGAAGAATAAAATATGCAATTCGCGGACCCAAACACGTGAGCGTAACTTTTGATAGGGAAGTTGCCAATCCACCTGAAGACCAAGTTCCATTCCACGTCATATCGAGAGGTGAGCAGTTTGAAAATGGGACAAAACCACAGAAAACGTCTTCGATTTATAGATTTGCGATATGCAGCAGAACCAACTAGGACCTACTTAAAATAACCAAAGTAGCACCAATCATAATGGAATAACTCACGTTTCTCCGAGAGTACGAAGAATGAGGGCAAGGCAAATTTGCAAAGAGCTGCAACAAATGCTTCGCGAGCGTCCGCTATGCCACACTGACTACTAAGCACGACCATAGCACTTTCAGCCAAAAGCAAGGAGTCAGTGAGTTTTTCGTCAGCACTGAAAAATAGCAGAAGACATTAATTTAAAGGGTTCATGGGAGGAGCCACAACACCCAATTGATTTATTTAACACCAAACAAATTATTTCCCGCCGAAATTGATTTGACCACATAAGTAGGTTCGTACTTACCAAGCCTCGAGCAGTAGAGAAAGAGCAGGCAGCAATGCAGTCCAAGAAATTTTTAGCATCTCAAATTCAATTGGAGGTTTAGCTGCAGGAACACTTTCTACTAATGACCTTGCCTGCTGAATCAAGTGTTGAAGGGACCAAACAAACTGCAGCATGCAGCTGATGGTCAGACGAAGAGAATAGCCCTCTGGAAGAGACGGCGCTTCGGATTTATCTAAAATCTCCAGTCTGTAATTTTTTAAGGTAGCATTAGCATAAAACGTATCTACAGGCTTACAGAGCAAACTTCTGGACGTCGGCGATTACATGACTAACTCCCCTGTATATAAAAGAGGGTTTCTGTGGAATTTGGTGTCCAGAAGGTGAGCCTAGAAGAGTTACTGTAGATTCTGGATCTAAAGAGTAAAAAGCGTGCTACCCAAAGAAAAACAGAGCCATTGTAAATGACAGTAAAATTATTGGGAAAGATTATGGCTGATTTTGCAAAGAATTTAAAAACATTTGCACAAAAGAAGGAGATTGTTTAGCTTACGGGGAACTTGAGGTATTAGAAGAGTCGATTGGACAAAATCACCCACAGCACTAACGAGGCCAAAGAAAACCCGAGAGGGCGGATCCATCATATCGAATGTTGAGCATATTTTCCTATTCCACCATATGATGTAAGAAAAAAAAGGCATTGATTAAAAACACGGGTTTTTGTAAGTCGTGTGTGAATTTAACCCGATGCCAAAATTAGTTGTCGCATCAACCAGCACCCATTGCAGGAGCGTCGGAAAAGAAAAGATACACTATGTCCAACCTCAACGGAACATAGTGCATCGATAATTTTGAAAATTTCTGACTAAATAAGTGGGCGCATGTTAACGGCAATACTTACACAAGTAAATCCACTTGCGCGATAATCTTGTATATAACCTCCAAGGAAAGAGCTCGACGCCAAGCATTTTGTTCGTTCTCAACAATTCGTACCGTCGTTGATATCAGCATCTCACATTCGGTGTTCTGAGAACAGAAGAAGACAAAAAACGTTCGTCGTTCGGATGGATTCACTCAATCTTAATCAAATGAGCACAATCACCATGGAATGAGTGCATTACTTCAAAAATAGAAAGAAATTTGATGTTTGTCGCACCTGTTTGCTGTGAAAGAAGATTTTCCCGGTAACACAAACTCAAGGAATTACCATTATTTGGAGACAAAATTAATAAAAGTCATGAATAACAAAGCATCTGAAAGATAGAGGTAGCAGATACTTAATGTTGACCCGCATATGATTGCCTTTGGCATAAAGTACCGTCTCAACTGGGCAAAAACTAAAAAGTAGTAGATTTATGCTGGCTGGATAACTCAATAATCGAAAAAAACAAATGCGCCAAGTGCAGTGAAAATGAAATAAAATCGCATACACATTAATCATTTGATTGGGCATTTTAAGTGAAAAATAGAGCACTGGCATACTTTATGCGTATGAGCTTACAAGACACTCAAAGTAATTTGAACAGAGAAGGTTAATGATGCGATTGAGGCGGACATTGACACCAAAATCGGAGGGTCCGGCGTAGGTGTTGCCACCACCACCATCCCCGAATGCATCACTGCTGCTGTCTCGTAATGCGCCTTTCTGGCTGTCTGCGGTCAGACCGGAGGCCATCAACTTGATTATCAGTGGACATACTCGTTCCTTCAACAGGTAGTGAAACTCCTTCGCCTAGATGATAAACCCAGACAGCGAAGTACAGAGATCGTCATCATCCGAGGTAATATAAGGAAATTTCCCGATAGAAGTGTAGTGGTCAGTGACTGCTTGAATGAAATATTACCCTGCTGTGCAAATTGACAATTTAAATCTAGAGATAAGTAATTGTTTTTAGGAAATTTAATTGCATGTTAAATAAATCTTCTCCAAAGGAAAGTGAATAGATAACGAGGAACACAGATAAAGGGAGTTTAAAGAGTCACGGACCCTCTGCCCAATGAGCTTAGATACTACAAGTGAACAACCTCCAAAATGGAGCAAAATAGTGCATAAATATTCATTCTTATATAATTTGTAGATATGCTACAGAGGGGATGATAAAATACCTTTGAAAAAAGGTTGCGGTAGTTAAGAAGAACTGATTCTATCAATTCCAAGCCCAAAAGAGGAGAGATGTACTCGATGCCTTGCAACCAGTGGGGAATATCACCAGACGTCAGAAGGCAGAGGTCCTGAGGGAGAAATAAGCTACTTCATTGCTCGACTAAAGCCTTTTACAATACAAATTGAAACGATGTGTAAGACATCTAGGGGTAAAGTTATTGTTATTTTCTTTAGGGACGTGACACATGGGATAAGTACATAGTAGGAAACAAACCATGTACGGGGACGTAAAGTGATATAATTAAAAAATATACAGGAATAATCGGATTGGTTACTGTGTATCCAAAAGCAAAATTGCTAAGAGCTCTTTAGAGAGAGATTAAGTCTTTCTCTTAAGCAATGCCAGATGCGATAACCATGCAAAACGCGACAAAATCGATAGGCATACACTCGGTTTCTAAAATGCTTCAAATGCTTTGAAAGAAGTACTATTTCTAGCATAGATTAGGTATGAAATTCATAGGATGTAACGTACTACTGTACCTACACCTCCTTGTAAAACAAAAATACGTCGTTGGGAAATGCATACAAGTCTACTTAGTTTCGAAACAAGGGAACCGTACGACGGTTTTAAAATGGCAAACAGTGCTTACTTGAAACAGAAAGAAGGCGCTTTTTGACGAAGGAGTGAATTTAAACGTGTCGACTTTCTCGACGCCTTATAAGACAAAATGCATGTTGCTTTTTAGATCATTTACAGGTCAAAGGAAAATTTATTGACTTCCAGACTTTCAAACGGAAAAGGAACTAGGGAAGCATTGAAGTAACATCGATGAAAGCTACAATATGCATTCGAAGTGCTTAAGTCAGTACACGCAAGATCCTGAGAATATAAACTAACTCCAATGAAGCTAATAGGACCAAAAGTTACCTGGAACATTCTCGTAACCTGAGGAAGGTAAGCTATCTCTGTTAATCCGATCAAAAACAGCACCAGTGCATTGACGAATTGCGGCAGCAGCGGTATTTACCACGGCACTGGTTTTACTATTGTGCAGCTTCAAGCATATTCCCAATGCCTAGCGCGCCGAAAATAAGGTTGGTAAGTATATAATAAATGGCGCCTAGCAAACAAATAACAAGAAAAATGTACAGCTACACATCACCGTGGGACTTATAATTCCAAGAGAATAAAAAAAGATCCTAAAAGCGCTCGCTGAAGGAGTCAAAATAAATCTTGACTAAGTAAGCGTTCTAGTTTAACAAATATATACTAACACCAGAAGAAATAGCGCAATACTATAAACGAACCCACGACAAAGATACATCCGGTAGAGTCTGATTTGTTGTGACGAGAAGTATAGTTGTCTGCAACAACTTAAGTTCTTCAATTTCTGCATCCACCAAAGTGATTATAACCTTCAGCAATGACTCAACAGAAGACTTAAGAGAAAGAAATTCAAGCTTTAACGCACCTCAGTCATCATTTGGGACGTAATCAAACGCTGAAGAGCCGTCAGACAAATATTAACCAACTTAGGTTGGCCACTCTCGCAACCCTTAATAAAAGGACTAACAAGTTCCACATTGTTTTCAAGTAAGTCTATCGACGCTTATATTACGACGGGAGTCTTACAACTTCCAATGTCTGCATCTCCGTTAATCACGTCTTTCAGACGCTTCACTTGTGCTTCGGCGCTCTATAGGGAATTACCCATACTTGTATTCAAACTCACATCTTTAACTGATGGGTATTTCCTTTTCGTCTCATTAACCACATTTCGAAAATCCTGTTGCAAACGCTCAATGAGCTGTATTAAGTTCAGAACATCAGGCATCCTGCCGCAGCAAACCAAAGTGATTTAATGGGTTGATTAAGGTGTTTTGTATCCAAAAATAGCCAAAACAGCGCCCCCAGGTATTTGCAAAAAGCGGCGCAGAGAGAAATCTGGTCAAACAAAATAATAACGTAAGTAAAACAATGGAAAAGAAAGATTGACCACTATGCAATAAATTTTTAACACGCAACTAATACAGCTGTTACTTATTAGGCCTTATAAATTTAACTCATTAAATTATAGGCATTTTTTTATTGGTACCCAACTAGTTACAGACCTAATAATGTACAGTAGAGAGAGCAAGTACACCACAAAATCATTAGTCTGATGTAGAACAATGGTCAGGCTCGCGTATACTGCTGTCCTTACGGGACCACCTCTATGACCAGCGGATACTTTGGTGGTAGCATGGCCCTTGTGCGCATGATCTGAGCTTTGGGCTAGGCCATAATTTAATCACTTCCTCTTCCTTTGGAATATTTTTGTCTCCCTCAACTTAATGCTTCTTATCTATTTGGTGAGGAGACTCGGCAAATGCATCGTGGATCTAGTTAAATGCATCAATAACCAGACTGGAGACGATGTCTGCCTTACCGCATTAAAGTGCTCAGTATTTTCTGTTTCTTAAACTGTGATACACTTATCATGATTGTGAACAGGTTGGTCGTTACTCGACACATCTATAAATTGGAGGCACTCCTAAAGAATCCTGAAGATGAGTTTAACCCCAATTGTGCTGTGTAGCGACCTGAGACTTCCGCCCCGGTACAAGAAGTCAGTAAGTGCAGCTTAATACATGTATTCCAAAGACGACAGAACAAATGGACCCGAGCGTGACCTGAAGACCAGCCCACGTGCACAGGGATCAGATAAATCCTAAAGTGACGGCCAAATGCCCGGTAGTCACATAAACAAAGCATTACACTACCCATCTCTCCTTTTGAGCAACGTCTTCGGCGCTCCCCTTTGGTACACTCCCCGCGCCAGCCATCACAACTTATTCAATACTACAAGAAAGCACCCACGAGCCAACCGCGTCAGTCGACAGACAACACGAGATCGAGGCACCGTACCTGGTTTTCTCGGCAGCTTCGGTCTGACAACCAGATTCCGGGCCGCATTCACCCGTTGACCATCAATTGCCTCAAAGACTAGACGGTGGAACTCTGATCTATTTCATATATGTTACAAGGAAAACGGCATGAACCACTGTCCCGTGGTGTCATTTGTATGGGACATTCCGGCACGAAATTTTGCCAGATAGTTCCCAGCAGTGCCGCTTCAGTTGTTGATAGCTTGTCAGCGGAACGCGGGAATAAGGTGAAACCAAACGCAGACGTCAGTCCGAATCCTTTTGTTGTGAAGGATTCAGGGATTCTCCGTCACCAAGGTGAATGCGACTCCTTCAATTCACGTCCCTTTTCGCCTGTATCTTCATCTATTGCACTTCGACAGAGTCAGACCTCCTTCTACGCATGGTTAGCTCGTGATTGCCGGTGCACAACGCCCAAATGCGCTTATTGATCTTGGATTCGTCCACCTAAAAGTAGGATTCCTTTGCAGTCTTGTCTGCTGGTTAGATTGTAAACATCGTGTCGCGAAAAGAGAGGTTTCAAATTTCCGGTCAAGGGAACACGATTTTGAGGTCCGACAGATTATCAGGCTCTTAGTTACCCAAACCCGGAGCATCAACACCAAGAACAAGCCATTTGCAGGTACTGAACCATTGCATCATCCGATCGAACCATTGCTCTTAGGCGTGTTCG